GAGCAGGACGGTGTGGTGCTGGTGCATAGATGGGTGGGATGGTCTTCAAACTTGTAACATTTATAGCAGATGAGGATGTGTATCCATTTCTCCTGCTCGCATTGAGTTGGTGTGATTCTGGTGTTGAACATGGAGAATCCGTCTGTGACTATGCGCTGAGCGATTGTTGTGTCAGTAGTGATTATTTTTATTACGTGGGTGTAGTCCTTGATTTTGATAACATCCTGAATCTGTATCCAGTTTTGCAGTCTCGTGATCTCGTCTTTAATTTCAGTCGGCGTCTTTTTCCCAATGTCTCTGTCCAGTTGTCTTACAAAGATAGTTCGTTTAGATCGTAAGTCTGGGGGTATTATCGGTTGCAAGTTGATTTTTCTGAAAATATCGGTTGCTTTCTTGGAGGTCAGTTTGTCTATGGCAGAAGCGTCATCGGTTACACCGTTACAGCATAGAATCCGGTCGCGGTGTCGGTAAGTCTAATCAGTGGAGCGTTGAGGTCGTGGAAGGTGGCTTGAAATATTGCTGGTCGGTCAGTAGGTATTCTAGGGTCAATTTTTTTAAGTTGAATCCTATAAGTCTGTTTTCTCGAGCGGTCGGGTAACGTCGATGGCGTTTGTGGAGGCGTAGGTGATGATGATGAAAGATGAGATGAGGATGGATGTGAACGAGGTTGCGTCAGGGGGTTGGTGCCCCTAGCCCTCTGGGACAAGCCCGTCGGGTTCGGGGCGGTAGGAGGGGGCATGAGGGGGGGGGGGGGGGGGGGCAGGGGGAGCGTAAAAAAATACCACGTATATATAGTGGAAGTGCGGTCAAATATACAACAGAAAAGTAGAAACAGAAGCACGAAAAGATCACAATATTCCAGTGGCACGCACTTACTTCTAGGAGGCAGAGGCGAGCTTGGAGCTGTTCGGCTGTTGAGGCGAGTTTGGAGCACCGGGCAATGGACACACACAGTAGCCACGAGGGGCCGATGAAGCTGGGAGCTGGCTCCAGGGCTTATTTAAGAGTAAAATCTGTGGCCTACGGCTGCCCCCCCCCTCCCCCCCTTTGAGATATGACCAAGAATCATGCCGCATCCATGTCCTTAGTAGAGTCCGGAATATTCGCCGCTTTCAATGTATCACAGAGTCTAACATAGTCGTCTTTCTCTAAGATCAAGCCTTCACGCTTGCGAAAAAGGCTATCTTTGCCGAACAGGGAAAGTTCGCACCACAGTGATTCTCCAGCTGATTGGTGCTCTTACAAACGTACAAGAATCGGCGACAAGCCACATCAGGCCTATTCTTCAACGCTGACATCACTGTAGCATAGCATAGAATGGCATAGCGGATACAACGTTTATTAGGCCGTAGGCCTGTCGCCGATTCTTAACATTGCAGAACATTCACAGCTTGTTGCGGTCTCGAACTCACAACTCACTGCTCCAAATTCTGCTGTGCTTAGCCGCCCGGTCTCCTCGCCGATTCTGACCAGAAACTAGCCCACAGAGCTGAGATCGAACCCGCCCCTTTCTGTGCTAATCTTGGTACTCTAAACTGTAACCACTGTGCCACCACTTATATATAAGCCGGTTGGGCTAAGCTTACTATAAGCTTGTATAGCTATAAGCTATACAAGCTTACTCGCACCAGAAGAATTGTATTGGAAATTTCCGTGCGAAAGTGGCAAGTGGCAGCTTTCAATGCCCTGCTATGCTATTTTATTTGCCATGTTATGCTCTTTATGCTATGCTATTTAGACAACTGCAGTTGCTGAGCCTAATAAAGGGTTCTAATCCACAACGCTATACCTCTGTTGCACTGCTCTTTGCCTGTGTTGTGAAAACAATCATAATCTGGCAACTGAAACTCAACGGATCTAATATTCTCAGCGTGATTTTTAGGCAGTGTTTCTGTAATACAAATAATGTCTGAACACTCGCTCTCCATCACCGATAGAAGCTCACTTCTTTTGTTCAAAACAGAGTCATAGTCTGTGTAAAAATATTTTGAAGTATTATGTCGTGAGCTGGGATTTTTCAAACTACCACTATTTCTACTTACACTTCTATTTCTATGTACGTAACTTTTCTCATTCACATATCTTTCAACTCCTGTGGCTGAGGCACCTGCGGTTGGTTCACTGTACAAGCTTGTCGATGTTTTAAAAGGTAAACCTTCCTCACCTGCAGCGAGTTCCCACACAATTGATGTCTACGTCTTATGTTCCGAGTATGAACGCCTTCAAGAACAGACTAGAGTAGACGAAGCTATGCAGGAGCATAAATGTTCAGTCTTGAAATGCCTAGCACCTTACGGACCTGGCAATAAGTCCAGCAGCTATCTCAAACAATCGTCAGTTATGAAAAGATCGGGTTCAGATGGCAGAAGGCCGGCGGATCCCATGTGGAATCAATTCACGACTTTCACATGAAGTACAAGAATCGGTAACAGGCAGTCTTCAGTGCCGACAATTCTATCCTATCATCTATATATATTTGCTGACTTCTACAGTCAATTCAATGCCTCCTGAACACGCACAAAATTGCTTTCAAGACTTCTGGAAACAGCGCCATCCTTAACATTTGCAAATTTGTAACGACGGATCACGTTATGCCACTGGATCAGTTTCTGCTGGCCTGTATCTGTCATCGCAACCATCCTGCCCATCCACTTACTTTGCCACTGGCCGGGACTCAGGAGTGTCGCATGTGTCTCCGTGTTGATGTGACCGTGCCCGTGTGTGTTGACAAGTATAATAATGACAACTTGACAGTGTTGTTATTTGCTCATAATAACTTTTACTATATAAGTGTGCCATTCCTGTATTTCAGCTTTAATATAAATTTTCAAAAATGTACAAACTTCCTAAAATGAAAGCAGACCAGTTTGATCAAGTAGGTTTAACGGGGTACCTAGCCTAAATTTTTTCTTATATTTATTAGCCCTGTTTAAAGTCAATTGCTGGTTAGTGTCTGTTCCAACTTCCAAGAGTGTATATAACTATCAATGTCTGTCATTAACTGATAAAGATAGTCTAATACAACATTTACAACAATAGTAGTTTAAATCTCAAGGACTGATGAATTGGGGCTGATCTTGAAGGCAGATTCTTTTCCCATGGAAATGTTTGAGGCTTGAGGGAACTTTGCTTTGCGCTTCGGCTTGGTCTGGAGAACAGAGTGGTAATCCAGGCCCAGCCTATAGTATATACAATGAAATCAAGTAATTTGGGACAAACCCAGGTGACAGGACTATAAAAAGCTGTGCATGATAATTGAAATCTTTTGCAAAAAATCTTTTACCTAACTAAATGATTGAATCCTTCTGTTGAATTTCATCTGAAATTCTGAATCAGTTCAAAAATTTTATTTTTCAAAATGGATACCGGTAGTACCTACCTTAGTCCTAACTTTGAAAATAGGCCGGTATTACTTTAGATTAAGTGCATCCAAAAAAAAGGGTGTTTTTTTTCTTCAATTATATGTTTTTTGGGATGTAGATTAAGAATCTGAAATCCTTTTTTGGCGGTCGCCATTGGAAATTTTTAATGGAACCTGTTCCTAACTGGACCTAACCTGCGAGGTTTTCGTTGATCGGCTAGGTTTTTTTCTATGTTTGGAGCATAGTGGCAAAGCAGAGAGTTGTTTAGACTCTCCCTCAAGTTCATTTTTGAGTCCTATAAGTAGACCAGTAAAGTATCATGGATACCAGATTTATCATACTTAAGAAATTGGTTTAAATCTTGAGTTATTGAGGAAATTAAAAATGAACTGATTCCAAAAAAGCTCTGGTTTGCCACTATGGTTTGGAGTCTGACCGGCAGCCGGAAAAACCTAGCCAATCAACAAAAACCTTGCAGGTTAGGTCCAGTTGGGAACAGGTTCCATTAAAAAAAAATTTCCAATGCCGACCGCCGAAAACAGATTTCAGATTCTTAATCTACAACCCAAAAAAACATATAATTAAAAAAAATGCCCTTTTTTTGGATGCACTTAATCTAAAGTATTACCAAACATTCTGCCTGAATCAGGAGATAGGGTAAACGCGGTATATTCCGACACTTTAAGGACGTAGCAAAAAATGAATGGCTATAAAAAGTACACCGTACGTGCAACTTGAGTTCTGTTTGCTTTACGTCACTCTCAAAACACCACACTACTATGCACCAGCAACAATGAAACATCACAAAATGTTGCCATATTTATTTAAAAGCCTTTAGAATGCAAACCTACCAAATCCATATATTCCAACACTGTAGTGTGACAAAATTTGGTATTTTGTAAGACTAATTCCGGCCGCGCTTCAAACTCTACTAATTTGTAATGCCGACACTCTTATGTTCGAATTCTAATCGCTGTGTGAGCTCAGCTGAGCTGTATTGGAATACGACACAGTTTGGAATTAGAACACTATTGAATATTGAACACTACTTAATTAGGCTTTTAATTAAGAGCTATTAAGCTTTTAATTAAGAAACTTTTAATTTTTGCACACAGCTTGGAACAAGCTGTGTGTGTCTAATCCAAGCTGTGTCAGAATTGGTTTTTATGTGTCTAAAACTGTCTCTTAACTTAATCATCTATTAATTTTTTTACCACTTGAAATCAGCAAATACAAGTATACTTAAAGTATTCCTGATATATTCACAGACTTATTTAAAAGCCTCAAACCATAATATTCTTTCTACACAAACAGTTTATCACTATTTGGTAGAGCAAGGTCAACTATCAACTTTGACACATTTTTCAATGTTCTCACTGGGTGACGTGCACTGTCTCTCTTTGGGTCTCAACATTTTCCTGCCAGATGGCCCAGACCTAGGCTAGTGTTTTGGCAATAGTATGGCGTGCAAAAGTATGACGTCACTAATTCAACCATCAATGAATGCATGGAACTAAGAAAACGCTTAATATAAAGGACAAAAGTTGAGAAGTGTTGGAATTGCCCACAATGTCGGAATATACCGCATTTACCCTAATAAATAGAATTGTACTATTAATGATGCACTTGTTATTTTTCAGAGCACATTATACAATATACATGAGTAATATTATATTATTGGTCCCTGAAGTCTGAACTAAGTTTTATCTCAAATAAAATATTGTAATGGGCCAAACACTGAGTGAACCCATTACTCATAAGGTGAGTACAATTCAACTTGTGGTTTCAGGGTTAGTGATTTTTTTGATTTTTTTAAAAAAATCAAAAATCAATGATTTTTTTGATTTTTTCATGATTTTTTTGATTTATTTGATTTTTTTGATTTTTTCAACTTTTTTGTCTTTTTGAAGTGTTATTTTTTATGTTGCAATTAGCCTACTAACAATAACAGAATATGGATCATAATGGATGGGTAAAAAGGGCACTTATTGCCGTCAATAATGACCAACAGGCCAAGGTGGTGTTTACCACTTAGGGATTTTTGGGTAAACAATTATTGATAAAGTCTATTCATTAGCTTTGTAAAGTTTGTATGGAGCAAGGTAATGAGCTAAATATTGACCATTTAACTGGCTTCAATATACAAAAACACTTCAGGAATGCAGATCTTCTAAACATTGAAGAGTCACATAACAGATAGCTGATAGCACAGTGCACAGCACTATCAATACATCTACTGGTTTCATGTCCTATAAATCTACCAGACTCTACCCTCTATAGTACACACCGACTAGTAGTGACTGAGTGACTGACTGCACTGTTCGCATTTAATTCGGACCAATAAACCAATACTAAACATAAACTGAACGATAACCAAACAAACCTCATACGACTGGAAACGAGACTCAAGTTATGAGAAAAGCACTGTTTGAAATAAACATTTGCACAATTCAAATATCTTATATCCATTCACTGCATTTAATTATTTTATATATAGTCTTATAATTGTAATTGTTTTGTTTCTAGTTTTAAATTCACATATTTAAAGATTGAAATAAAATATTTTAATTAGAATACTCATATTAGGGTGGAAAATCTTTCTAATTGTCTAAAACAATCTCAACCTCTCAATATACAGGGTGGGGGAGAACCGATTGAGCAGTTTTGAGGTAAAATAAAAGAGTAATGGAGGTACATAAAGAAGAAAGTTTATTTTCCTAGAGGTTAGCATAACATACCCTTTAGAATACTTATGTTTTGAAAACAATATCTGGAAGATGGGGGCCGTTAGCAGCAACACACTGTTGGAGTCGTTCTCAGAGGAGGGAGTAACCGTAACAGTGAATTCAGATCGCTATGCTGCAATGTTGCAAAATTTCTTGCAGCCCATGATGGAAAACATTGTTGAAAATGAAGCATTGTGAGACGTCTGGTTCCAGCAGGATGGGGCTACAGCTCACACAGCCCGAATGTCACTCAACGTTTTGAAATGCATGTTCCCAGACTCTGAGGGGTGATTTACAGTGGCCTGCGAGGTCACCTGATTTGAGCATTTGCGGTTTCTTTCTTTGGGGATATCTAAAAGAAAGTTGTTCAGAAGTCGCCCTCACACCCTTCCTCAGCTAAGGGGACAGATTATTGCAGCAGAGGTATTGCCCATACCTCGCCATATGTGTAAACGTGCTGTAGAAAACGTCCGAGAACGACTCCAACAGTGTGATGCAGCTAACAAACCCTATCTTCCTGATATTGTTTTCAAAACAAAAGTATTTTAAATGGTATGTTATGCTAATCTTGAGGAATATAAACTTTTCTTCTTTATGTACCTCCATTACTCTTTTATTTTGCCTCAAAACTGTTCAATCAGTTCTGCCCCACACTGTATAAGCTAGCTAACACATTTAAATTGTATATTGTAATCAATATATAACAAATAGTCAAATAGTTAAAGACTACTTATAGCCTTATAAGAATTAGCTAAGCTGCAAGCTACGTACAATGTATTGCACACTTGATGACTCTGTACCAAAAACATTCAATTTATTGGAACCTAATACACACTAAAGGCAACAAGTTTATATACCAATTTGTCATTCATAGTACATTTATACTAAACCATGAATAACAATACCTCAATATAAATTAAAGACTGCCACTCAATATATTTAAATATTTGAAAAAATCAAAAAAATAAAAAAAAATTGAAAAAATCAAAAAAATCATGATTTTTTTATAAAAAAATCAAGTGATTTAATCACATGATTTAATCATTTTGATTTAATCATTGCCAACCCTGTGTGGTTTTACATAAAAATCTTTAAATTAAAATCATAATTTACAAATTTAAATCTTGGACATCCTCCAAAAGTGTATTTGCAGCCCTAGCTAATTTGAATTTAATTCTAATGCGTTTGTTTACACATTTTAATTTTGTTCAGTGATTCAAGATATGTTTATTTTAGATCATTCCTAACACCATTTATCTTTTCAAGATTAATTTCAGAGTTTGTTAACCAAATATCAGAGTATCAGACTGGGAGCCAGTGTGCTCCTCCATTTTTTTCCATATTTTTCTCCAAATCCTCAGTCTCAGTGACTTACTCAGAAAGTTTAATAGCTCATACTGTCCAACTTTCAGTTTGGGGCACTGATATAACTACAGTGAGTTTGGCCTGGTAAAATTAGGTCAGGATGACTCCTACTAGGGCAAGAAAATGAAGAAATGAATCACTATTTGGACTAAGTCTCACTCTCACCCATATCTCGATTGCATGATCTCAGCCATTACTCGGCATTAGTGTACAAAATAACAGGTCACTTGCAATTGTTCTCCCTCCAAGTCTAATCATAAAATAAAATAGACATTTATTCAATGCATTTAATGGAAGAACAAAATGATGTCATAGTTTGCCTTCAAGATCACCTCAAGAATTGTGAGGTGTGTTAAAAATTGCAAGTCCAGCTTTTACTTCATAGATAGGAATTAGGATACAAGTTGATCATGGTCATGTACAGGAAGTTAATAAGAGTGAGGCATGTTAGAGTTTTTCGTAATTTTTGAACTGCAGTTATTAAAGGTTTTAAAAAATTTTCAAGTGGTGAATTTGCATTGTGTTTTTTCTCTGTTGTAATTTTATTGCTAATTTGCAATTCAAGTACTACGCAAATTATTTGAAAGGATATTTATTTTGTACAGGAGTTAGACAAATTAAGGGAAATGCCTGAGAAATCCTCAAATACATTTTAGTGCAGTGTTGGTCCACCTTTTGTGGCAAGTACAGCCTCATTCTACAAGGTATTGATTCATACAAATTAATAATTTTTCATTTTTAATTTGTTTAATAATAAAGGAATTTTGACCCATTCTTTTGACCCATAAAACTCTCTTCAGCTCTTTTGAGACAATGGTGGCAGGAATTGAGTTTTTACTTGCATCTCTAAAATCAACCACAAATGGTTGATAATATTCAGTGTCTGGTGAGTGTGGTGCCCAAATGAGATGTTCAACTCAGTAGAGTTGAAAATCTCATCATTCCTTATGCCATTTTCAGCAATTCCAGCTGTATGGATCAGGGCATTATCATTTTGAAAGATGGCATTTCTTTCCTGTAACAGTGCTTGAACCATCAAATGAACTTGGTCCTGCAAAATTCCTAAATAGTCACAGCTGTTGATTCTTCCATGAAGAGAAATCATTGGTTTGCCGGATTTCCAAGCAATAGCACCTCGTATCATCATAGATCCCATCCCATGATTTACTGTTTGGAGGAGGCAGTTGGGTTTAAATGACTCTGACTGTCTCCCAACATATACTCGCCTGAATTTGAAAATAAGGTAAAGGATTATTCATTATCAAAAATCACATTTTGAATTGAAGCATTTGTATTTGAAACTAGAGGTTTTGTAATTGCAGTTCTCCCATAGAATCCAGATCTGTGCAGCTCTTGGCAGACAGTCTTCATGGAAACAGGGTTCTGTATGTGTCCATTGAGGTCTGCAGTAATTTTAACAGCTGTGGTCTTTTGATTGTCCTTCACCATTCAATTTAGGTGCCAATGGTCTCTCTCAGACAACTTTGACTTTTGACCAGCCCTGCGGTTTGCTGAGGAAGTTTTTTTAACTCTTTCTAAGGCAGTTACTACTTTTGAGACAGTGTCTCTAGAAATGTCAAGCATTTGGAAAGTTTCAGTCGCACTAGCACCTGCCATACAGGCACCAACAATTGGCCTCTGTGAAAGTCATAGAGATTTGCCATTCATTACTTATAGGTTAGGTTACTGTATAGACATAAAAATTAACTCAACATATCTGTTCAAGGATATGATATCAATTAGCAGCAACAATGAACAATAAGACATAAAAATATGTCACATTTTCATTGTTTATAACATGTTGCAAAATTAGGACCGATATAAAAATGTCAGGTGTTTGCCTTATTTAGTTTTTGTGTTTGAGTTTTTGTCATTTCTGCATTAACTGACCTGAATTTATGTAATTAATTGACCAGGAGACCTCCGTGTGTGAAGGAGGCGGCTTCAAGGTGGCCGCTTCATCCATGCAGGGCTGGCGGGTGACCATGGAGGACGCACACACGACTCTACCCGTCATGCCTGGCGACCCTAAGACAGCCTTCTTTGCCGTGTTTGATGGCCACGGTGGTCAGTGGGATTGACACTAGGCTAAAAAATTGTGCTGCTAACATGTGTTTAAAAACCATATACGTACCTAGTCATTCTAGTATTTTGATGGATAGTGAGAATAGAAAGATGAACAAAAATTACAATGTTCTACCTCTTAATTTATCATTAATTCTATCTATGAAAATCAATTTTGGTAAAGAAACTTGCATTTCCAAAATGATTATGATATTTTTATTTGTTGTACCGTAAACTGGGGTAACTTAGACCACTTTTTTTTAAAAAATGATGCCATTTTTTTACTAGATAAGTTAAACTTAAATTGAAACCTGCAAAATACAGGTCTATACTCTAGCTTTACTCACCATAAATTGCTGGCTCCTGCCTCTCATAGTTTTGATGTAATTTAAAAAAAATAGGTCTATGTTACCCCGTCAGGGCTGACATTAGGTGGTCTAAGTTCCCCCATTGGGGGGCGGCGCCCCCCATTTGCAAACTATGAGACTTTCCTAAAATTTGTTTGCTGCATGTGTAACTAGAAGAGTTGTACTACAATGCATCAAAACCTGGAGTTATTTTGCCAAAAAATAAAAAAATTGGAGGAGGTACTCCGACAGGCTTTAAATAATAGCTTTTTTTCGTGGGTCACATTTTTAATTTTTTAACCTATTAGATATGCAAACTTTTTAAATCTTTCTATTGTGTTACGTAGCCTCAGTATTAGGCCTTTAATGCCCATTGACAGAATTTTTCTATGTCAAATAGTTTTTGAGTTTTGGGGGTTATTGTTAAAAAAACGAAAAGTGGTCTAAGTTACCCCGGGAGTCTAAGTTACCCCAGTTTACGGTATAAATATTAAAATAAACTGGTTGCTTGCAGGGAGTGTTATAGCTCAGCACTGCTCCCGCAACCTCCACAAGAGCATCCTTGCCAGACCCGAGTATGCCAGAGGGAACTACCACGATGCCCTCCAACAGGTCATCAAACATTGATAATTATTAGTGATATTTCTTATTGATTGATATTTATTAGTGATCAACATTATAACACACCTGTTTCTTATTGATATATATACAATACCTTATTCACACCTGCTTGCAGGCATTATACCTTCCTGCAAGCTATTCCTTAACCAAGTCTCCAGAAAGCTGGATAACAGGACAGTCTTAACTTGCTTTACTTGGTATAGCTACATTCAAAGCCTTACAGTGCAGCAATTGCAGTCTGTTATTGTTCTGCTCTAACATGAGAAGAAAGATTTCCATTCATAAGCTCATATTCAATATCCAATTAAGGCCTTCATCCAAATAAATACCGTACATTAAAATAGTCATTGCTCTGGCAAAATATTGGCTTCAAGTTTAGGGACCATGCCATGTTTCTTCCCCTCTAAAAGAAATCCTTTACAGTTGTTATGGAAGGAGACTGTAATTTGCTGTGTTCATTTCATTTAAAATGTAGATTCATGATTTGTATTTTTTTAATGGTTGATGCTGTTAAGACCTAAATTCTGTAAAATTCTTTGTTGCAGTTCCTTTACCACATTTGTACAAATATTTTCATCCCAAAACAATAGGAAAAACAAAACTGTGAGACACTGACAGTATTAAAATTTGAATTGTTTGAATCAAACTTTTTGTGCAATAGAAGCTATAAGTGGAAAAAGCTCCTGCACTTGTGTGTGACTGCAGGAATTCCTTGCCTTGCTGTTGAATTCTTTTTGAATTTCTTTGCCCAGCTGTTGAACACAGGGATGCAAACAAATTATTTCAGTTGATTCAACTTCTTGGTCTCTATCAGGATCTGTTCATCATGACCAGCAAGATGATGTTTCATCAAACATTTCTGCGTCAAAGATTTCAAAGCTAATGAATTTATTGCTAATTTTATTCTTAATAAGCTTTCACTTACCACTTGTTGATAAATTTATACAGATTATACAGTCAGTTTATCCATCTATTTGACACTGAATTAAGAATATTGATACTGAACCAAACTCTCAAAAGCTGGCACTGATTGTTGTACATGTTCTCAATATCAGATGATTTATAATGATGCTTTACATGAGCCTTGTACAATGAAGTTCTTACTGCTTCTTGAAGTATTATTGCAAAGTATTATATAATATTTTTATATACTATTATATAATACCATTATCATATAAATAATGTGATGTATATACTATGATAACTTTGTTATAGGAAAGTATCATATAATAATGATGCTAGTACCTGCAGGGATACCTGGACCTGGACGCTGCCATGCTGGCTGACCCGCTACTGAAGGAGGAGGTGGCGGGCAGCACCGCTGTGTCCTGCCTCATAACCTCTGACACACTCTACTGTGTGAGTGATGAGTGCCTCATAACCTNAAGAGTGGGCTCAGTGTCAAGAGTGGGCTCAGTGTCAAGAGTGGGCTCAGTGTGAAGAGTGGGCAAAGCTTGCTTGATAAATGCCATCCATGAAACCTGCAGTGCTCGCTTTCGGCATGGGTGTGGAGATGTATTGTTGTGGGTCAACATAACTCAATTATGGACATTCAGAATATTAATAAATGGAAAAGGTACCATTGATTTCTGAGAAGCCACATGCAGTAAAATTTGTGTGCCGTGGCATTGAACTAAATACAATAAATCAAAGACAACAAGAAGGCGCTAAATGGATACAAGTTTACAGACGCATATTATAATAGTCACCCAGAAGGAAACGCTCTTTAGGTCTACAATGACTCTGAACTTCAGTGCTGACCGACGAAGTTGTTAGAATCAAATTTAATTACATTTGGCATGTAAATAATTTCTCTAATAAAATTAATTTATAGCGACCCCGTGCAGGCGAACGTGGGAGACTCGCGCGCCGTGGCAAGCGTGTGTGGGGCGGCCGTGGCGCTCTCCACGGACCACAAGCCGTCGCTGCCCGCCGAGAAGGAGAGGATAGGTGACCTGGGGCGGGCTCATGAGGGGCGCATCAGAGGATAGGTGACCTGGGGCGGGCTCATGAGGGGCGTGTCAGAGGATAGGTGACCTGGGGCGGGCTCATGAGGGGCGTGTCAGAGGATAGGTGACCTGGGGCGGGCTCATGAGTGGCGTGTCACAGGATAGGTGACCTGGGGCAGGCTCATGAGGGGCGTGTCAGAGGATAGGTGACCTGGGGCAGGCTCATGAGGGGCGCGTCAGTGGATGGTTATGGTTGATATTGCGCCTAGAGTTATCCTTAATTATGCCTGCGGTCGCGCTCTGTATGTCTGAGTAAGCTGTAGGTGTGCACTACCTCGGCCCACCGTCAACGTAGGTGATGGTCAATGGGCCCCAGTAAGCATGGGGAATGACGATATTGTGTTTACCTCATTGGTTCTTTTTGTTTAATTTTGTTTGTGCACAAATAACAACACCTCGAGGTAGTAATAAGAAGTAATGTCACTAACTTCCTTGTTCCTGAAACATGTCAATATAGTAAACTAATAATTGAGCACGACATGATCAGTGTATGGAACCAGGCATTGTGTCCACTAACATGGCTTGATAACTTAAGTATGTCAGTGTTTAGCCTTCAGCCCAGGTAACTTGTTGTTGTGGATCCCCGGCCTCCATTTTACAAGAGACCTCTGTAGGTGTCTCTTGTTGAGACCTGTTCTAGGTCTCTTGTTGAGACAAGTAACCGGTTACATTCCGTTGCAGAGGCTGCCGGGGGCTGGGTGGAGGTGAACCGCGTGAACGGCAACCTCGCTCTTAGTCGCGCCATGGGCGACTTTGTCTTCAAGAAGAACCCATTGAAGGACCCCAGGGAGCAGGTGGTCACGGGTGAGCTATTGTCACGGGTGATGTTACCGGTGTCACGGTGCAGTAGTGAGGCAGGTGGAGGCAGTAACTCTTGTTATGCTGTTCGCCAGGTACGAAAACCGTGCATATGTTATTTGCAATTCGACCTTCATTGCCGCAGGTGCAAGCAGTGTGCTACAAAGTTGGCTTCAAGATTGTCAGACCTTTAATTAATGGACGAATTTTAGGTCATTTCTTTTCGATGTAATTCTCGTTCCATTCGCTAGGCATCAAAATGTATTGTCAACCATCATAATCTATCTTCAGATCCTGAGTTGTGTGACAACGTCCGAACAAATTTATTCTAAAAATGCCTAGTATTAATAACAGACCACGGGTGTAGAGGAGAGGAGCATCTAAAAAAATCCTGTTGTGAATTCATAGAGAGGCGACTTTAACTGAAGCAAGTTTACCCATGTAGCCTAGACGATTAAGGTTATGATATACAACACAATAAATAATTCCGTCTACAGTACAGTGTCACGCGTCATGCATTCTTCTACATGACCTCACATCCCTCATATTAACTTCTGCCACATACGTCCTGATAATCCCTGGTCACACCCCCGAGTAACGTTCCCCTCTCCCCCAGCGTTCCCGGAGGTGACGGTGCACGCGGTCACGCCAGACTGGGAGTTTGTGCTGCTCGCCTGCGACGGCATCTGGGACGTGCTCACCAGCCACGTGAGTCTGGGACGTGCTCACCAGCCACGTGAGTCTGGGACGTGCTCACCAGCCACGTGAGTCTGGGACGTGCTCACCAGCCACGTGAGTCTGGACGCCCTTGTAGTGTTAGAAATTTTGTGAATTTTATTTCGTAATAAATTATGACTTCCCTTTACCTAGGCAACACCGTTAGGAAGTTAACGTCGCGCACACAATTTTCTCGTTAATCATTATCGTTCGGCTGATCCCCAGTGCAGGTTAGTTAAAGCTCTAATAGGATCCTTTTTATTATTTAAATAATTGTTATATTGTATTATTATTTCTTTATTAATCTTCAACGTCGTTTATTTATTAGATTTACTCTGCAACAGTTACCCGCGTTGCCAAGGGTATTATTTACACTATTTTTCCATAGATTAATATTCATTTTTTAAAGCCCACCATTGCTGTCAATTTACACACTGCATTAAAATCTCAGTTCCAGTCTCTTTTATTTTCAATCCTGTTGTTTTACTGTGGGTAATGACTGGCTTTTACCCCACACACTTACCAGCCACACGTGAGTCTGGGACGCTTTAGTTAGACTGGCTTCCAAATTTTGCCACGTGCGGGCCCATTAAACATGCCACAATAAGCATGGCTCTCCTCCGTCGTGCTCATTACTCGCGCCATTCATACAACCGAACAAGGGAATTCTCCCTCCTCTGGTCCTGACCTCTGATGCCTTGCAGGAGGCGGTCCAGTTCGTGAGGACTCGTTTGGCCTCAGGCAGTGCCCCTGAGGACGCGTGTGAGGCCCTCATCAACCGGGCTCTGGCCCCCGACTGCCAGATGGGCGGGCTGGGCTGCGACAACATGACGGTAGTGCTGGTGTGCTGCTCCAGAGACTCCACTTGGAGACAGGTGGGGCATGGTGTGGGGCCGGGGTGCTGCTCCAGAGACTCCACTTGGAGACAGGTGGGGCATGGTGGGGAAGACTCCACCTGGAGACAGGTGGTGCTAGGGTTGTTGTTGCTCCAGACGAGCGCGTCAGTCTGACTGGTCCAGACGGGGCCGGAGCCAACAAGCCCCTTGAACGGGCCTTCGCCATATATCTATGATGTTGAGGGTTGTTAGATTGCTGATGCAGTTGAAAAGGTGGGGCACGTCTTCCAGCAGGAGATGGCAGTGTGAACAAATGTTGATGTCGTTGATAGGGTTTTTGTAGCTGTTGAGTGGAGTGGCCGGACCGAAGTTGGGCTAGTATTCAACTTGTTTTGCGTGGTAAAGTGGCTTCAGACGGGTCGATTTTTGGCGTAGGTGGTGGCCCTGCGGTTGAGAAATACCTGGGCGTGGTATAAATCACAAAGGCGGTTCGGGCGGCGTTTGTATGTAAGATGTTGCAGGCATGCAGGCAGTTTTAATGGATTGGCTGTTGATGGCGGCTGGCACGGCGTGCTGAATGGTGTTGAGGTAGCGGGAGTGCAGCGTTTCTTTCCTTGTACGAGGTGGTTGGTTGAGGGTTGTGATGCGGTGGCAAGGGTTGTTGATGTGGCTTTTTACGGAGAACTCTGCGGCCAGTAGGTCGGAGTGTAGTTTTACTGTTAACATTTGACATTCTGAGTGGAGGTGTGGTTCAGAGGTGATGTGGCATCCTGCGATTGTACGTAGAGGACCGTTTTGAGGCGGTTGATTTGACTTGATAGTCCAAGCTGGGCATGCATAATCGATGATTGGGCAGCCAATTGCTTTGTAGGTTTGGAGGAGCGTTTCTTTATCTTGTTCGAATGTGGTTCCAGAGAGGGCAGGTGGTGCTGGAGTGGCAGGGTGGCTTGGGGCCGCTTGGGGTGCTGGGGTTGTGGGTGCTGCTGGGATGGCAGGTGCAAGCTTGAGAAAAGCTACCCGTTTTAGTTGTTTTCGCTCATCCTCGTGTAATAACTCATCTCTCAATGAAACTTTCAGATGGTCAAAGTGCCGCGTGTCTCAGAGATACCGAGTTCGATAAAAAGTATATTGCCCTCTCAGGTGCCAGTGCTGCTCATTCATTAATCCTAAGACTTCAGTTCCAGGAGAAGTGCGCCAGGAGAAGCCGTGACAGCAGCGACAGCGAAGACGACGACGATGAACCCAAGGACCTCACTTAAAGAACCCACGACCTCGCTCATTGAAGCCCATGTCTCCAACTTTAAACCCAAATTCTTCATATTCCTGTGAGTGAAGTTGAAGTGCATAATCTTGGACCTGATTAAAGTGGAAATGTAAAGATACGGAACTGAATTGTTATTAATAAAGTGGCACATAAATCGCATTACTCAATTACTTGCTAATGTTCTTAAACGTGGCATAGCTTAAGCCTGAGTACAGAGCTAAGAGTTAACACGTCAACTCCAAGTTAGTGTGTTGCGTTCAGAGTAATCAAAGATTGGCTAGCATAATCATTATGAAAGTACGTATATATTTTATCAAGCTTGTATCCGTGAGTATTCGGAGAAGTCGTTATCTGCTTAACAATGTCAGGTAAGATTATTGAAACTTATGAGTCCTGATCACATGATCTTGTGACAGACAATCTACCGCGCTCTACTCACCAACCGACAAACGTGGCAGTTCTACTCAACAAGAACAGTCGCTACTTCTGCAGGGCTGTTCTACTGTTCTGCTGCTCCAGCGCATCAAGATCTCTTATTTACTCAACAAATTTTTAAGCTGTTTTGTCATGGAACTTTTATGCTGTTGTGAACTCTTGGTTCTTCGAATCTGTGGCCCGTGACCCCTTTTCTCATGTTATGTTACATCAACTGAACTGAACCCTCTCTTGTACATACGCTTGAATTTCTTCACTTCCACAATGAACTGTAACTAATGTAATGAATTTCTACCTGAATTATAACTTGTGCATAAATTGTAACTTAACACTGTAAAGCACATCAAAAAAATTCATTCACATGTACCATAAAATTCCTAGCATAAACCGAACCCTATACCACGCATTATAAGTTCGTTGTAACGAAGACCCTGAACGAAGACCCTGCCTAGATAGTTGACGCATGCGTGATGTGTAAAATATAACTCAGTACTCGCTGCATAGAGTGACAGAGAGCGCATTTTCTCGTCGAGGAAAATGTGTAGTCACGGACGGACATGACGAGCACAATAGCGCCTTTTTTCTATAAATGAGAAAATGCGCTAACAAAAGTGATGTGTGATGTGCCAGTACATAACACCAGCCGGCATTATTAGATGATAGTGAGCGTGTAAAGATTTCTGGCACCGTACCATTGTGATGAATTTTTTTTAGTTCCATTTAACTTTAATTGTCCACGCAAATGTATAGGTTATTTTCGTAATGTACTGTTCAAAAATCTAAACTTACTCCTGGCTTGTATTGTAAATTATGTTGGTGTTCATGATCACAATTTGTGCCAGCAAATACGTACTCTTGTGAATTTTATTTCAAGGAAACGATTTTAATTTCGGTTCTATCGGTATTATACATGAAATTATTAAAATCACGTTGATGGAATTCTTGTTTCAAGTTCAGCTGGAGGTTTTATCCAAATTATTTGCGGCCATCATGCCAGGTTAGCCATTTTCCGTAATGATTTTAATCCTTTCTTGTGCCAGTGTAGAGAAGTAATGAAATCTCTGTCTAGTCGCTGGAATCTTCATAAAAAGTATAAGGAAATGAACTAGCCTAATATTAGGAATATTTTAGATGGAAAACGTTAAGAAGATATTGTGGTAGTAACTTGCTGGCCCAAGCATTTTTGAACAAGCCTCTTAAGGACTCCTAGAGCCTTGGATTACTTGATGAATTTTTTTGTTTTTTGTACACTTGATGTCCTTGAATTGCTGGCCTGTCATTTTTTTTTCTCTTCTACATTTGCCGTTCATAAAAATCGCGAGTGCGTAACTGCGTATTTCCCATTAATGAAAATTACTGTCTCTTTGTTTCAAGTGTGACGCTGCTGCAAATAGTTGATAAGTCTGTGGAGTTATCAAAGCTGAATAGCGGCTTATATGTTATGTGATGGTCTGCTGCTGCAGTGATGGTCTGCTGCTGCAGTGATGTCTGCTGCTGCAGTGATGGTCTGCTGCTGCAGTGATGGTCTGCTGCTGCAGTGATGGTCTGCTACTGCAGTGATGTCTGCTGCTGCAGTGATGGTCTGCTACTGCAACGCTTAAAATGCAGAGAATTATCTTCATCATGTGCTAGTTGTACTTTATTTAAATTTTTATTGTGTTTGTGAAATATTTTCGTGGATATTTTATTCAAATAAATGAAATAACTAACTTTATTTGGCAGTTTTTATGTCAACTGAAAAATTATTTAATCATAGTTTTACAATTCTGCTCAGGAGTTTGTGATGCAAACGTGTTTACACATTTTTTAAATATATGAATTATGTTCTTCTACATACGTTACTCTTAACCTGGTGGAGTAGGAGTCATGTGATCATACTTGTGAGTCCAAGTAGGGTTTGTTTCAACCCTTGGGGGTTCATTAAGGGTTCCACCTTCACAGCTTTTCAAACTTTTTACGTCGCGTCTCCCTGGGGTAGCAGGATCACAAATTTCACCGACCGCTGTTGCTAAGACGCTAATTGCTAAGTAATGTTCATAACTCAACTGAGTAGTATTCATATCACAATTCCTTGGTGTTATTTGTTCTAAAATTTCAAAAAAATACAGGAGAATATTATTTGTGCGGAATAAGATCAGGTCTCTGCTGCGAAATGCAAATAATTGTTACACGTTACAACCCTGTTAGCCCTGAACAGATGTCGCATCGGTAACATTCTTTTTACAGACCTGATATTTGAATTTTTCTCGTGGTACATCAGAATAATTGTATCTTGAATAATTGTATCACTTGGATATATTATATGCAACAGACCTCAACGGTGTGTTAAATTACTCAACAATAGATTTCTGATAAGAGTACGAAGAAAATTATGGTTGGTAAAGCTTCATATCTTAATTTTCATCAGTATTCACTGAGCTGACATACATCGTCCACAAGCATGTGACCGAAATGGTTCATTGAATATCAAGTTTAATGGCATAAACGCCTTTTATTAGATTATTCATTTAATAATCGGATACGTATTTACGAATGCAGGTTTTGAACCCATAAATGATGCAGCAAGAATTTGTTCCGTACGAAATCCGAGTGGCAACTTTAGTTGCCACTCGGCTGCGAAATATATTCATAAATATGTTGAGTGATTTTATTGATTACAATGAACTTAATGAAATTTCTATGTCATATGAAGCATCCAAGAGCACAGAAGTAACAAAGCCACCATCAAAGCAGCGGAAGAAAATCGCTTATATTTGGAGCAAAATTGTTTATTTGCCTGCAGAGAAACACGAAGCAGACATCGTCGCCAGGAACGTTACGGAAGTGTGATAAGGAACATGACTCATCTTGTCCCACATCACACAGCTCAACCTGCATCCACCATCACCATTAAATAGATTTGTTATCTAAAGCGAATGAGACACGTTGTGAGATTTGTGTTTAGGTAAAGAATAAAGGAATCTATGGTAATAGAAGTAAAATATGGTAATAAAGAAAGAGTTAGGGGGGTTTTGAGTATGTACATCTGGTTTGAGAAACATAAAAATTAGAGATATGTTATGCATAATATTAGTGCTATGTAGCGAGATCCGCTACATCACTCCCCACCTTTGGAAGAGGCTAGAAAGAAAAACAAAAATTAGCACAAATTAAAAATTTAGTGAGGTTGATGTTAGTTGGTAAATAAATTGATTAATTATATCTAGCGGGGCGACGAATTTGTCTTCTCCGTCTGATCGCTGAGACGGAAGACTTGATTGTGGGCTTGTGATCAGGAAATGATACGCGTGTGCGGGACGCAACAGTGGGCGCGGCCCGCGGGTTCTGCCGTACACCAGTGCTTGTCTCCTCTGGAATTGGGGCTACATGGACGTGTCTTCAAGGCTCCCATTAAACGAAAAATAAAAGAAGATGGAGGAGGACTCTTACGTCAGATAAAGAATCATTTTCGGCTCTGTTTAGGAAGCATCTCATCACTCTGTTTTGTACTAGGAGGTTGTGAAGAAAGATTCGAAGTGTTCCTGCTGCCAGGGCATATAATGTGGTACCTACACCAGCGGTTCTATTGATTTAGGCATTCCAGCCAATAGCTTTTAGAAATATCATAATTGAACGCCAATGAGACTAAAAAAATTCGTTGTAATTGTAATAGTTATCGTTGAATAAAGGCAAAGATGCTCTGTCGCCGAAAAAAAGACATCGCATAACACTTACAGATCACTGGGGTTGGGAACCTTCCACTCTCGGTTATAATTTTGTTATCCTCAAACACGCGGCAGCTTGACCGATTTTATCACAACTGCAACTGGACCACCTTTGGAGGTTCAAATTGATCATGAGCGATAAGAATGAGAACGTTCAACAAAACGCTCGTCAGTTACGAGGAAAATAACGCGTAGACTGTACAAATTTCTTCTTACCGGATGTCGCAGCAATTAATAGAAGCAAGATGGTGTTCACGTATTGTCTTGATATGCCCGCTAGAACAAGGCCTGCTAACACCCGTAACACCGTGACACTACTAACAGAACAAAATAAACAAGACAACAATGACAGCATGGCTGGTTGGCCATGGCAAAGCACAATCGCTTCTAATTACAGGGATAAATGAAACGTCATCTGAGCCGTGCGCACTCTTTTATTCTGGATGTTATACCACAGATGTCTCGAATTTACATGTAATTGGCGAGGTTAGTATTGTCATACTTTACACAATTGCTTCCCTCCAAATTCCTACAATTGATGCTTGTTATTGTCAATTAAGTAACACGTTGATACAATTGAATTCAAATTAAGACCATATTACTTGCATAAAGCTTCGAGAGGTAACCATTACAGCAATGCTGTGCTTCACGACAGTTCAAGCTTTCTCTTGAAAATATACGTAAGTACGACAAGCCTTATAAGCAGCCTAAAGACGAAACAAGTGAAAAAGCTACTTAATTCAAATAATACAGAGAGCAGGATTGACTTTATTACTAATTAATTCTTAATTTCGGATCTCTTCCACCAATGGACGAATATAAACGAATGGAGAGATAATTTCCAGGCTTTCTAAGGAAGACGATATAAAAAAATATAGTAACGGCAGGAATTTGCTCTAGTAAATAATGGCGTAATTGATGAGTAATCTAGCTTAACCTGACGCACCAACACAACCATCACGGCTTCACAGCTCCGTATTGTCCTCTAGAATTCCTAGGACGAGTCCACTAGAAACTAGTGAAGGATGGAGAGTAGTTGTTAGTGTCCTTGGTGACTAATACGCAACTGAGCAGAGTTATCAGTGTTTTCTGGGAGACGGATAGGTTGAACGGTTGAATTAAGAAGTCTATCATCACTAGACTCAATTTTTCAGAGGATCTTTAAAAATAAATAAATCATAAGCGTTGTATCAAATAATACGAGTAAGAGGTTCAATGGTTCATAGAAGTAGATATAAGACGTAAACTTTTCGCAAGCAGTTAGTGGACGTGTGGTGTGCTGGCCGCTGTTACTCGTCTCGGCAATTATTCATATTAATACAAACTTAGGAACTAGTCAACTTTTTTTGTTATTTTATCCACTGTTTTAGAGGTCGGACCGCCGCGGCCATAAAATTAGTTTAGACTTACACAGCCCTAATACAGGCATGTGCTCCATGCGTAACCTCAACACTGCTGATCACACAATGTACACAGGAGTACAGAACTACACACAGAAGTACACAACTACAATACAGAGTTGCGCTTGAATGCACACACGCATCATAGAAAACTTTCACGGGTAACAAACGCTCCAGTTCATTCCATTCAACAAACTCGTTTACTTCTTCAATAGGCAAGAAATCGTTCGAATTCAAAGCTTCAACATTTCCAAGGTAAAAGCCATCAAGAAACGCACATTAACCTCATGACAGGTACACGTTGACAGAGAGACACAAATAACTTGTTGACACACACGGCAGTCACGACCAGTTGATGATAATTGGCAGAATTAACGAGCCATGTCCCGACTTGCGGCCCGCGTTGAACCTCGCTGCTGGGTTGAAATGGAGACTGCTGCTGATTTGTGGGCTGAAGTGTTGAAATGGCGACAATTGGTTCTGATGAGGGCTAACTAGACGCAAGTTACCAGGTTATTAGCAGTAGAAAATAGAAGATGTATTAGCGTTGCTTGTTCAACGAGACGAAATAATGTAGCGGTTGTAGAAGTGCACCAGTTTCAGTGATCTTGAGCAGAGTGGAAGATGCAGCAGCTGCAGAGCAGTTACACGCAGCAGATGTAGCAGGTGCAGGACGGGACTCAAGCAGGTGCAGGTGAAGGAACTTACGCCGCCTTCTCCTGCTCGATTTCTGCACACCAAACACGAACATTAAACGGCGCACAGCTCGACTGCTCAGGAATAGCTCGTATGGCACGCAGTAGGTTGTTGATATGATTTGGAAGCTGCATAGCTTGCAATACTTTAGGTTGTATGGCATACAAAACTAAAGGTTATAAGGCTTACAATGTCAGTGTCCGAGAGTAGATTGTGGATACAAATCCTTATGTGTTCAACAGTAAACCTAATTAGCTTTTAGTCCACTTAGTCAACGAATCCCTGTCCTTAGGTAGTCTGTAGAAATATATAATCAGTCAGGTGGTGCTTAAAATGGTTGCCTGACATGTGGCGGCCAAACAGGGATAACGACATCTTGCGCTATACTCAACAGCTTTTTACTGATTCATTTTAGATTTATTAAAAGCTCATATTCTCGATCGACAGAATAGATAAAGATCAATATAAGTACGTTTTTTTTTGGAAACTTATGTTCATTGGCAAGCAATAGTGGCTGCTTTGGTGTGCAATAGGCCCCCAGTAACCCTCTTTGGTGGGCAGTGTGCCCCACAACTCCCCCTCTTTGGTGGGCAGTGTGCCCCACAACTCCCCCTCTTTGGTGGGCAGTGTGCCCCACAACTCACCCTCTTTGGTAGGTAGCGGGTTCTTCTCCAAGGTCTCGGTTTTCTTGAGGGCACTCGCGTCGAACCTTTCAATGCCAGAGAGCAGAGCCTGCTGGTCCTTCTCAGCCGCGATGTCTGCAGACGAAAATTCATTGTTAAAGCCACACAAGTAGAGCTCGCCATATTAATCTCAGCAATTCTGCTGCAAGGAATTTCCGTATATGTGAAATATAAAGAACAAGTGCTGGTCTGCGCCATATTTTATGAACATCGACGGGGCCAAGAAAGCTTGTGCCCTCCTTTTCTGCTCTCAGGAATTCGTTACTGAAAGGACAAGACAAGCGGTAACATGAGCGACAGGGCACGGCTGTCTTGGCTACAAATTAGACATCAATTGTGAACAAGAACTGTTGCCACTTTAATTGATATTACACGAGGTAAGTGTTGTCATAGCAGCACATTAGTACAGGATAAATCTCGAGTATTTGGCCACGTAAATGAGATGAAATGCCATCATGAAAGTATATCATAGGAGCACGTAATGCGAGAACGTAATTTCTCACGAATATTCGTCCCGGTATTTTCTCATCCAAAAATAATTAGATTGTGTCTATTTGACATAATTCATTTAAAAGAAAATCGCCTACAATCCTGAAGAAAACCCACACGTCTTATCAGACCTTACAAACGACGGATACACAATAAAGTTAGGTGGCCAATAAGTGCGCGTAGTAATCTCGCAGACGTTATAGGTCACACAGACGGCTGTTACTTGTGTGAACACGCAGACGTTATAGGTCACACAGATGGCTGTTACTTGTGTGAACACGCAGACGTTATAGGTCACACAGATGGCTGTTACTTGTGTGATACGCAGGCGTAACACAGATGGCTGGTGTTATTCAGCGTATAGCTCACGCGTCACTCGCAACCTGAGTTCACATTACGCAAGTTTGTCGAGGTTTGGTAGCATCACACGGGGCGTTACTGGTCTTGATGCAGGCATTGTTAATGACACGCCATTGATGTAGGCAAGGATGAGGGCAGGAGACGAGGGTAGCAGCACCTGCAACCGAGGGCAGGACGTTCTTCTCGAGGGTGGTCGTGGGTCGCAGCAGCGCCGTCTTGTCGAACGACTCCAGCCGCGTCAGTAGCGCCAGGTGCGCCTTCTCCGCAGCTATGTCTGGGCATGGCTAGCGTGTCAGGACTCATGGCTGGACATGGCTAGCGTGTCAGGACTCATGACTGGACATGGCTAGCGTGTCAGGACTCATGGCTGGGCATGGCTAGCGTGTCAGGACTCATGTCTGGACATGGCTAGCGTGTCAGGATTCATGGCTGGGCATGACTAGCGTGACCCCACTCATGGCTGGGCATGGCTAACTTTTAGGAACCATGCAATAGCTTCCATGTATCACTCACTTTGCACTTGACTCGTGGACTAATCCTGACTAGAAGGTTAACTTTGTGCATGCCTGACAACACGTATATGTCGCCGGTACATTAATTTAGTCTAAGTAACGAGCAGCAAATATACCTGGTAACAATACCACAACTAATATTCTAGTTAACGGGAGCGCTCTGTTAGATGGATGATGTTAACTCATCTTATAAAATTACTGGACAACCAACATGTTCAAGATTTCACCTTGGAGCTTGACATTCAAAATGCATAATACATCAAATATTACTATATCATTAAACCACCATATATAATCATCGGAAAAGAATAATTTTAATACTTTTATATAATTACACACGTTTTGATTTAGTCTAGAAAAAAAAATCAAACTACACGAAAATTTCGAACTATCACAAAGCAATTCAATGGTACAAAAAAAAAAAACAGACAGCAGGACGATCTATTCAGCAACACGACACCCGCACATCTCTCAATACAATATATTTACTTACAATTGGTACAGTTTTCAGCACAAAAATCAGTACCACGGTGCATGCAATGTTAATATCGGGAAATTCTAGCCATGTCAATACATCAATACGTACACTGGGAAATGTGCTTCAAACAGTGATGAACTTCTGGCCATGTGTGAGTCAACCTGACCCAGTTTACCCATGGTAACAGGGTGCATCTGCGCTACGTGCAGTGATGGTTACTATTTGGACACTATGACTTGCTGACTTTTCTGAGTGTATGCACGCATGCAGGATGGCATGATGCAGAATGGCATGATGCAGAATGGCATGATGCAGAATGGCATGATGCAGAATGGCATGATACAGAATGACATGATACAGAATGGCATGATACAGAATGGCATGATGCAGAATGGCATGATGCAGAATGGCATGATGCAGAATGGCATGATGCAGAATGGCATGATACAGAATGACATGATACAGAATGACATATATACTTGCCATGTGCATCAGGGTTTGAAAAGTCAGAAGAGAATCCTACAGGCTCGGTATAAGTTATCCCTGAAAGTGCAACTCTCTTCACTATCTCGGGATAAGTGATCAGTCGCACGCAATGACAACAAACGAGACAAAAATCATCTAATCACGTTTTAGTCTGAAATAAAACGGGGGAATGCCTGTTAATTTAACTAGGAAATTAACATGTAGTCTTGTCACCATTTTGCAGCGGTAGCGATTACTTGCAGCGGCAACAAGCGCAGGCATGATGTAGCGAGGCTGCAAGAGCAAGCTCAGTGTCAACAATGCTGTAGAGATGATGGCTACAAATGCTACAAGGACAAGTAACAAGGCGAGAGGTGTGATCAGCAACAAATGCTACAAGGACAAGAGAGGTGTGATCAGCAACAAATGCTACAAGGACATGCAGCAAGGCGAGAGATGTGATCAGCAACAAATGCTGCAAGGCCATGTAACAAGGCGGGAGGTGAGCTCAGCAACAAATGCTACAAGGACATGTAACAAGGCGAGAGGTGTGATCAGCAACAAATGCTGCAAGGCCATGTAACAAGGCGGGAGGTGAGCTCAGCAACAAATGCTACAAGGACATGTAACAAGGCGAGAGGTGAGCTCAGCAACAAATGCTACAAGGACATGTAACAAGGCGAGAGGTGAGCTCAGCAACAAATGCTACAAGGACATGTAACAAGGCGAGAGGTGAGCCTGTCTCTTATACACATCTAGATGTGTATAAGAGACAGGTGCTAGTCTTGCTAGTCTCATTACCTTGCTGGTCAGGCAGCGTAATCTTCTCGCTAGTCTCATTACCTTGCTGGTCAGGCAGCGTAATCTTCTCGCTAGTCTCATTACCTCCTTGCTAGTCTCATTACCTTGCTGGTCAGGCAGCGTAATCTTCTCGCTAGTCTCGGTGTGCTGGAGGCTGGACTTGTCATAGTGTTCGATGCCCTGGAAGATGCTCTGATGCGTCTTCTCCGTGGCTATGTCTAAATAAAAATATCAAATAAACAAAAAACTACAAAATAATATAAATAAATACATGGCAAAATGAAGAAGCAATGCACAAAAATTTATGGAATAGAAGCTAAATAAGATGGAATGAGCATAAGAACTACCAATGCAAAGTAATCAATAATTAATTCATAGCAAAGCTACACAAATATGTTCGAGCCAAATGCGTAATCACGATCATTACAGGCAGAACTTAATATAAATTGTGCAGAATATAAGAATTCAAAAAGCAAATTACATCGAACACTACCGTAACTAATATGCACGAACCAAGCAAAAATGATGAACGTAGTAATTCAATTTAAATAGCAACAACGGAATCAACGGGTAGTGAAATTCATGTAAAAAAACTAATACTTGTAATTGGCACAGGATTAAATCAGAGGTTCTGAAACTAGCGCACATGTACACGCCACACCGCATCACCAAGTTAGTCCTGTACAGTAACGTTAATGCGGAACTTTCAAATAAAATCGAGACGTTTACATAAGAGGCCCACGTGTAACACCGTGCACATGTTCAGCAATTTACCCACAGGCCCATGGACACTTCATAATATACAATTTTATACTTTATAAAAATATTTAAGCGTGCATAGTGGCAACGTTTGCTTGGTGTGTGGCTAAATGTTCAGAGCAATTACATCTGTTTGTGTTCAGTTTGCAGGATTGTTATCACGCGCATCTTGCGCGTGGATAGAAAACCACGCATCCGATGGAATAACCCGTATGTTCAGATGATCACTAATCAACAATAATCCATGGTATAAACAGCGCAGCGATCAAGCGTTACACCATCGAAGCATAGCAATGGATATACCGGTACCGATATTAAATAGCCTCCATAAGTAGTATAGATGGCAGCATCACAGTTTGTATAATAAACGATTTAATGTGTTAATGACCATTTACCGCCGCTTTACCGAACACTCCCAATATTTTTTGATCACCGTGTTTAAAAAGTTTGGAAACTGTTCGTTACTAAAATCCTGGGACTTGACCTAGAGCAATTTGAAATTTTTGAAATACTTTCCAGAACCGGCATGATCATCTTTATAATAAGCAAATTGAACTACAGTTATTATGTCTTCCACGAGAAGACGGAACTATCAGCAGGATTTTGATTTTTCTCCGTAGCAATATAGAAAAGAAACAATTTTTTCTTAATAGGATCAATGTCACTGGAATCAGGTACAGAAGCAATGTTATTGAAGTTTTCGATTGCATATTTTTGTTAGCGTCTTTCAGGTAGGTTTTTAAGATATTCATCCTTATTGCCCTTGCCGTTGAAATATATCAATGATTTCAGATTTCTTATATCCCTTAACGAGAGCATTTTATAACAACTTATATTCATGCTCACGAGTTAACGTGCCATTAAGGACAAGATAGTTGACATCAATCGAGTTCTCCAATAGCAACTTCAGTAGCAATGAGGTTTTTCTGTCTGATCTCACAGTCAGGCGAGGCTTATCAAGTCTAGGTTATGACAGTGATATTATATCCTGCGAGAACAACTCAATGAAGAAAAATCAGTGTTGTGTTCTCCAGTCGAACCACAGTTCTAGTGTGAAATATTGACCCTCGTTCTCTCGTAATGTTGACGGTAGAACAGTACAGAAGCGCAGTATAGAGTCAGCGTGAGAACAACAAGCAAGCGTACGGCAGAACAGCGAGTTTCTTCATGTAACAAGAACAGCAACAAAGAACAAGTAGCATATGCAAGAGGAGACAATAACAAGCAACATTAAGAACAAGAACCATGGTAAAAACTGTAATACGCAGGGGGATTGTTATAGTCCTTAGACAAAGTTAAGACAAGAACCAGACCGTAACCTGTTACATGCAGAACAAACTCAAGCACTGTTGAGTACGAAAATAGACCGAGAATCCAAGGTGGAAATTATAACTAAAAGCGATAGAGGATCACAAAGCGGATGAGAACAAGAGAACAACCTTCGCTGGAGGGGAGAACAATTTTCTCAGCAGTTTTTGTTCTCTTTAGTTTGGTTTTAGCGCCGTGTTCTATGCCAGCCAAATGCTCGAGGTGCGCCTTCTCTGCCAGCACGTCTGTGGCGGCAACATAAAAGATGGGTCAAGGCAGATGACAAGGTGGGTCAAGGCAGATGACAAGGTGGGTCAAGGCAAATGACAAGGTGGGTCAAGGCAAATGACAAGGTGGGTCAAGGCAAATGACAAGGTGGGTCAAGGAAGATGACAAGGTGGGTCAAGGGAGATGACAAGGTGGGTCAAGGAAGATGACAAGGTGGGTCAAGGGAGATGACAAGGTGGGTCAAGGCAGATAGATGACAAGGTGGGTCAAGGCAGATGAGACAAGGTGTGGCAGCAGTGGTAAAGGGTAGTGACGGGAGATGGTGACACGGTGTGGTGACGGGAGATGGTGACACGGTGTGGTGACGGGAGATGGTGACACGGTGTGGTGACGGGAGATGGTGACGCGGTGTGGTGACGGGAGATGGTGACAGTACAGCTAAGCACAAGCATGGAAGTAGCGAAACTAACAACTGTGATGGGATCAAATAATTTCGTGCACAATCAGGCCAACGCTAATGAGTGACTAATGCCGCTAATGGGTGACTAATGCCGCTAATGGGTAAAGACTGACCATACTGTGCATAGCAAACACTAATTTTAATTATTTTACTTCAAGATTCAAGATTTTCAAGCATATCCTCAGTTTATTACCAAACAAGCAATGAAGACCATGGTCTTCTTGCTACCTATTGTCGTTCCAGCCCGTATACCAGATAATAGGTAATATATAAAAAAATCACCGATAAAAATGACATTTTTTGCCGCATTTCTCTTTTTTCTGGTTTCTCGGGTATAATGTATTGGAACAAAATAAAGCTAATTGCTCAGAAGTGGAAATTTTCGCATCTTAATCAGTCTTTTCTTGGCTTAGTAGGGATTTAATCCTCAGCTGCTCCGACCCTAACCCTCCGTGCCATAAAAAATTTGACGCGGACCCGACTTAGCATTAGGTACCGCCGAAGACTCGGGGAGCAAGTAAATCAGCCGCTAATGTCTGCTTTGGCTGTGGGTTTGAAGTGCAGCCTCTAAGCAGCGGGCGAACTCGGTGTGACGCGGCTCGGCCAACTCTTCTCAAGCTATCATTATCATAACACTATCAAGTTGGAAACAAGATTCTGACCACAAAATGATTTTCATTAGGCGACCAAGCACTACAAAGATTAGCTTTACGCTAAGTGCAGTGACTATTCGGCTGAAGCCTAGGAGGCCCCGGATTTTGTTAGGTTGGTGGGCAGCGCCTTAACCCTTACCCTCCTTGGAGGGCAGCGCCTTAACCCTTACCCTCCTTGGTGGGCAGCGCGGTCTTCTCCTCGGTCTGGGCGGGCTTGAGCTTGTCGGGAGTGAAGCCCTCGAGCTGGTCCTTGAGGGTGGCGTCCACCTTAGGCAGGTCCTTGAGGGGGGTTGCGGCGGCCATCTTGATATGGTGGGGTTACTCTGATCTGCAATACAACCAGGCATTAAAGGAGGTAATGAACAGCACAACCAGGCATTACAGGGGTAATGAACAGCACAACCAGGCATTACAGGGGGTAATGAACAGCACAACCATGCATTACAGGGGGTAATGAACAGCACAACCAGGGATGAAGGGATGTAATTACTGTAACCTATTCATGGCATGAATTCCTGAATGAATGCATTCGAAAATCAATGGTAGGTTCATTCTAAGTGATCCGATGAAAGCGAATGTTCTCATAGTTTTGAAATAAATATACAAGTAAGGTAAAGAGATAACAAGAGATATTTCCAATGCTTGAAAGCTCAATAACACAAAAACTGCTAACTCTGTTTATAAAGATTCATTTAAAAAGTTATTTTTTATTACCTAGCCTAATAACTGAGAAATTTTTTCTTTTCCGAATTCAACTTCAAGGCAATTCTGATACTAGCATCCATAAAAATTTGCCATTTTTTCAAGAGTACGTAGAAAGCCATTAATTTTTAAATTAAAAAAGGTCAAATTGAGCGAGAAATAATCTATAATGAACATAAATCGGTCACATATGAGCAGACCAACACTAGAGTGAACCGGACCCTACGACAGATAGCATATCATAGTTCGCAGCCAGGGAGAATGGTCAACGAGTTTTATCACAACTGGGAACTTCATGTAAACTAAAAACATATCTCAATAAGGATACATTAGTCACTTAAGTCACTACTAGTGACAAACGTTACTTATTATTGACGTAACAAATAAATTTTAGTTAAATTCATCCTGATACATGTTCTATAATTTCACGATACGAATACGACGCCCGTCGTAATGATGACGGGGAATGACAGGAGACAGAATTTCAGATAAATATCTTCAAATTGCTGGAAATATGTCGGTTCCTGTCCGGTGTCAATCAGGCGTTTCATTCTATTCATTATAATAATGGTCTCAGATTCGATCACCTGTTATTCAGACCTAATATTCACTAGACGCGGATAAGTACTAGACCTGAGTCAGCATGGGCAACCTCACGTGACAGATCACGCGATCTAGACCACAGTTGCGGGAGGAAGCCGTAAGCCCGTAATCCTATAAAAAAGCTGGGAACCTTAGTAAGACCCCCAGTAACTGACAAGTGCGCCGCAATGTAACTCACGTTAGAGTTACTCCGACCTAACGGTCAACGTCTTAGGCTTATACTCGTACCACTAATATAACTCATGTATTACTACCCCGTATACTGTAATATAACTCACGTATTAACACCCTCGTATTATGATAAGTTCTCTAGACACATGGTAGATGGTGTCGTACTTATCCCTCACGAATTTAGTCAACGAATCACTGTCCTCAGGCAGAATTAAGCGAATGGCCGCCTGACAGTCCCGGGCGGCACCGGGCTAACCTAACCTGCTATAACGCTTAAATATTCGCCATCAGTCAATTTCTCCAGCACCGTGTAAGTCAGAAAAAGAAAATAAAAAAAGTTAACAGACGCGAGCATGGGATTGCGAAGCAATCAAGCTCGGTATCAATGATTCTCACGTCTTGCTTGTATCAAAACAAATATTCTTTATGGTTTAAACAATTTAAAAACTCGGCAAGGTAACAGCACTGGACTGAAGTGCAAAAGCTAAGCAATATTGCTGCAGGCGCCAGGCGGTTGACAAGTTATCCGAATGGTGTGCATAACACTCGCAAAAATATATGGGATATGGTGTCCAAATGGTGGCATTTTCTGCATTTAGCATTCACACGTCGTCATGACGGGCAAAACTTTATTTTGATGGCTCACACCTTCACAAGAATTGCATCGCTATTTAGACAAAGGTTCTCAATGTTTGTGAGTGTAGCGCTGCTGTATCACAACGGACGGTGAGATGCAGATAAGGATGAGGTGACGCAAGCACAGATGTGATGGTAGAGAGTTGGTGAAGAATTCAGACATGACATCAAGTAACGGCTGACGGGGGACCTTATTTTTAGTATATTCTTTTAAATCGTTCTATTTCAATCAACGAAAATTAACACTGGACGGAGCGAAAATACCTGCCACTGGACACCAGCAAGCTTCAACCCACTGACAAGGCTTATTTGGACAACATTTTTGGACTAAGAAAGTTACCAGGCCGGAAAAATAGTTTCTAGAATTTCACCCTGGGCCACAAATGCTTCAAAACTTGCATCAATATTATACGCATTTGCAGGCAGGGTCAAATTCTAGGAATAGTGGTTCATATATTCAATATTGATCAAGCTGCAAGTTTTTATTTCAATATTGATCAAGCTTCGATTCAAATATATCAGATGAGTTATAAAGGAAAACTCTAGACTCAGGTCTCTTAATCCTACTTGGATCATCGTCTTTAATTCTCTTATACCCCATCATTAGACACGTCTCTCTCATCTCACCCTAATTAGCTCAGGCGATTTTCGGCAATTAGTTTTAAACACAGGACCGGAACACGTGCCAAGGAGCATTTCGCAGGCTACCTATGAAGAGTTTATGTAATAAATAATAGGGTTAGGTACACTCAAATAAATGAGCGAGTCTACGTGCAAATATCGACACTTTAGCGATTGTTCGGGTTATCCTAACCTATTTTGGAGCGGCAAAAAGGCCCGGTGTATCAGTGCTTCATCCGCTCTCTGCTCGTAGTTTATAGGTAGATAGGTCACTGTTGGAACAACATCTCCCACTACGAGTTTAACGAACATGCGAGTGTAACGAAGATACGAACTTATTACGAAACGAAACACATCATACCATATGAAAAAGTATACGAGCTTTCCATGATTATAACGAGCAACATAATACTGTGTGTGGCAACGATGTAGCGCGCTGTCTTCATCGTATGAGGCCTCGAGTTAGTTAAATACCGGCCCTTCCTGCTGGAGGTTTAAATGCCCTCTGATACACTGACTGTGGTCAATGCTATCTGAACCTAAATGTTCTGAAGGACTTGTGATAGTCACGTCAGCAGACGAGGAGTTGTTAGTCACGTCAGCAGACGAGGAGTTGTGATACCTAGTCACGTCAGCAGACGAGGAGTCGTGATAGTCACGCTAGTATAGGTCATCGGACGCGAAATGTTGCGTAATTGAGCATCGGGATTTCATAGTCGAAGATTAGCAATGAACCATAATTTTGGAATCTTTCTCGAAAAGTTCATCATCAAAAAGTTCCAATAGTTTTAAATTAGTAGTTCATTTACAGTTTCATCATCCAGCACTGCATTCTAAATATAGTCTACTGAGGTACCACGAGTCTAACTTTCAAACATACGCGGCCCAGAATTGACTGGCATGAAGAACATTTCATTTTTCCATCAGATCAAAACCGACAGGACAGATTCAGCAGTAAAATAAACTAAAGACATTGATTAACAATAACATGAACCTGTAGAGCGAGTACATTGCAGGATTGCACCTAACCATTGACAAGAACCTGTAGTGCTAAAGCGAGTGCATTGCATCTAACCATCGATATGAAATGAACCTGTAGAGCGAGTGCATTGCACCTAACCATTGACGACTGACGAGTACAGTGGACATACCAGCGAAGCACGCAACAGTTCAAACTTCAAAGTTTGACCTAAAATATTTGACGGTGCGGTGCACTTGTACTCCTGTAAACAAAGCCAAACAATATTATACAACAATTTTAAATCATCTCTAAATGCAAATCAACATCAAATTACTGGTATTAGCAAACTGGAACATAAAGCGCATGTACGCAACAGACAGCGAGACAACGCCTACATCAGAGAGACGGACCAGGGCAACGCTCACCTCACCCGACAACCGATGAACGTGCACTAAAGTCTGAAGTCTGAACCAAAACCAAACCAACGGCCGCTGTGACGCTGTCTCTCTATACGGTACAGGAATATCAGTGCGAGCCGCGCGACTATAGTCTTGTGACTTACACCATTAGTTCAAACAATTGGTTTTGACGCATGAATAAATAGTCAACGATTACTAACTCAATATCTGCACACTATTGTGAAAAACAAAACCATCTGTTATGTGAAATATGTAACCATGCGGGATTATTAGTGTAGTAGACAAATGTCGACAGGTCTGTGAGCTTCAGATATTTCTGGAGGAAGCCAACGCGCCGCGAGATACTGCGCGATAACTGCAGCGGAAACGCGGTGCAGAGTAACGGTCGCTTCTGCACACGCGGTCGCTTCTCTCTCTACACATGCGGCGGCCTCTCTCCGCACACGCGGTCGCCTCTCTCTGCACACGCGGTCGCTTCTCTCTCTACACATGCGGCGGCCTCTCTCCGCACACGCGGTCGCTTCTGCACCTGTCTCTTATACACATCTAGATGTGTATAAGAGACAGGATATATCCTGCGAGNCTCTCTGCACACGCGGTCGCTTCTCTCTGCACACGCGGTCGCTTCTCTCTGCACACGCGGTCGCTTCTCTCTGCACACGCGGTCGCTTCTCTCTGCACACGCGGTCGCTTCTCTCTGCACACGCGGTCGCCTCTCTCTGCACGTCTTGAGTCACACCAATAAGCTTGCGACCAAAGCTATAATTTTTAATTCTCTTTGGATACAAAAAGTTTCCTGAAACGTAAGCGACCAAAATACAACATTTTTATCAGTATTATCTAAAGATTCGTCAAGTCGGGATATCAATACAGCATAATTGACGCACAGAAAGCATAGGATCGCAGCGATGTTATCAGCCATGACCGCTCAAGAGCCACTTAAGATAAGAGCGCTAAGTTGATCGTGATAAGCGATACAGAACTTGTGTGGCATCATCGCGCTTGTTGTCCTGGTGTCGCTACACGCAGCCACTAGTGGCGGCCAGTGAAACAGAAATAACTACCACTATTTACCGTGCTACTAGTAGGCCACGCTAAGATCCAATAATCCTTTACACGCAGTCACTATAATGGCGGCAAGTGCAACAGGAAAACTAACCGCCACTATTTACCGTGCTACTGGCCACGCTAAGATCCAGTAATCCTTTACACGCAGCCACTAATGGCGGCAAGTGCAACAGGAAAACTAACCGCCACTGTTTACCGTGCTACTGGCCACGCTAAGATCCAGTACCCCCATACATGTAGCCGGATAATAAGTAACAATATTTGGAAGTTGTAGAGGCCGCCATTACTTTCCCCGAGTGCAAGAATATAATACATACGGGAACCCATGTGGCTCGGAACATATAGGATAACTAAGCCGTGTTATTTTCACACAAAATATATTTGAATACAGACCATTTGTATGTATTCAGATATGATAGGAGCGAGACGTGACATGAACGAAGTACACGTGAGCGTACGTAGAGAAGACGCGCGTGTGGCTGAGAGCAGCAGCGGAAACAGATAAGGAGAGAGCCTTCTGTGTGAGAGGGGCGGCAGGGAGAGAGAGGGACGGCAGGGAGAGAGAGGGACGGCAGGGAGAGAGAGGGACGGCAGGGAGAGAGATGGACGGCAGGGAGAGAGATGGACGGCAGGGAGAGAGAGGGACGGCAGGGAGAGAGATGGACGGCAGGGAGAGAGAGGGACGGCAGGGAGAGAGATGGACGGCAGCTAGCATCACACGTCACCACAGCAGCAACATAACGGCAAGATCATTAAAAACAACAGCAATGATCTTTGTACACTGATTAAAAGCAGTAACTGCAACATTTTAATTTTAATAACTCATTATATCTGTGCTGCTATCACAACAGCAGCAGCGGTAACAGTAACAGCAGCAGCAATAACCAACAACAGCAGTAACAGCAGCAGCAGCGGTAACAGTAACAACGGCAGCAGCAGCATTAGCAGTATCAGCAGCAGTAACAGCAGCAGCAGCTGCAAGGCTTCAATAAATCCCTGCAGCAGCTGCCCGACACCGCAGCTGCACCCCGCAACCCCTGCAGGTGTCCGTTCCAGCCACCACCACCATCACCACCACAACATCACCACCACACCGCCAGATATACGTACAACAAGTCACTCAAACAAATGAGTCAGACTTTGTATAGAAAACATAAGCACTTAGTGTCCTGTTGTGGATCATCCTGACTTAGTTTGGCCCGGCTATCAGTGCTACGTCAGCTCTCTGTTCTAATTGCGGGTAAGAGTCATTATCTGGACAATATGACAGCTATTTTTCCGACTGCAGTCTCACACAGCTGTAGTGTCCCAAATAATCACCATTATATACCGTGCATCTCGTCATTACCGTTCACTAAACATTTATGCCTCGAATTCAACAGGAAATTATACATTAAAAGCTAATTTTAATTAGACATTCTATAAGCATCTGCTGTGCGTCAGTACACAGCAGCTGACATTACATGTACAGTTGCTGAAGCACTAAGGACCAGCTGGTAAGGTAGCCGGTCTAGCACCCAACTTTGCTGACAATATTGAGTCAGAAATCTAAATCTCTTCTTCTGCTGGCCAGAGGATGGCAGACTCGACTGGCTACATCCAGCGAACATCTGTGGAGTGCGGGGCAGCAGAGTTCACTGTCTTGAGTGTCTTCACAACTTGCCGGAGTTAGCGGCCTAAATACACGTAGCGGCTTAAGTACACGTAGCGGCCAAAATACGTGGCGATTCAAGTACCGGTAGCGGCCTAAGTACACGTGGCGACCCAAGTACCGATAGCGGCCTAAGTATCCGTAGCGGCCTAAGTACACGTAGCGGCCTATATACGTGGCGACGTAAGTACACGTAGCGGCCTAAGTACACGTAGCGGCCTAAATACGTGGCGACGTAAGTACACGTAGCGGCCAATTTCTCGCAACTAATCGATATATTTAGTTTGAAAACTCGTTAGCATGACTGCCTGGGTTACGAACTGTCATTTCTATATTGTACAGCCATTGAATACAATCTCTGACAGCACGTCTCTCCCACCACCATCACCACCACCACCACCATCACCAAGAAGCAAGCAACAGTATCACAAATAAAGCCACTCACACACAAAGAGAAAAGTGCGTCCTTGTCTAAATAGCGATGCACTTCTGTCCCCTGTATGAGTCATTCGTAAACATATTAGCTCGTCAAAAGATCTTATCAAAGCTGCGTCCGCTCTCTGCTGGTGCCGTGACTAAGACACTGCGTCACTATTAGGACACTATGACACATTTATTCTCCTGACTGCGGGGAGGCGGGGGCAACAAGCAGGCAGATGGCAGTGTGACGGCGGACGACGAAGGCGGCGCATCAGCGTGGCAATGGACTACGACGTACATGATTCCAATTGAGGTCCTACGGTTCTGATGCTTAACGTTGCACGGTTCTGCAGGTCAGCGAGCAGGTGTGTGGTGTGTATATATATACAGCTGCAGGTCAGCGAGCAGATGTGTGGTGTGTATATATATACAGCTGCAGGTCAGCGAGCAGATGTGTGGTGTGTATATATATACCTGTCTCTTATACACATCTAGATGTGTATAAGAGACAGCGCAAGCACAGATGTGATGGTAGAGAGTTGGTGAAGAATTCAGACATGACATCAAGTNACATATACAGCTGCAGGTCAGCGAGCAGGTGCACATATACAGCTGCAGGTCAGCGAGATGCAGGCTACAGCGCAGCTATAAACTGCACATCTGCGGCTGGCACAGCGGCGCGGCAGCTGTGGGTGGCGACTAAAATACCTTACAGCTGCAGCCAGCATCTGTGATACTTGCCGTGTGTAATAATACGCAGTGAATGATACTCCATACAAGACATCATGTCTGCCGCCACGCACAAGACACAAGCCATGAGCGCACAATACCGGAAATTCAGTAGCCATCACATAAATAGACAACAACTCACGTCAACAATCATTAACCCCTCCCCCCCTCTCACTAGGGGGGTGGGGCTTCACACAAGGCATGTCTGTGCAGCCAATGAGAGGGGGGAGGGGGGTTGCGCCCCCGGATCTGGAGCAAACCCTTTGCACCTTATAATGCACCCAGCCCCACAACTCTGGTAGGAATAGCATTATGGATAAGAGGACGCGTGTGCCGGCATGGCAGTAAAGGGTTAACCCACAACTCTGGTAGGAATAGCATTATGGATAAGAGGACGCGTGTGCCGGCATGGCAGTGTACCGATAACTTCCTTAAAACCGATTATAAAATAATTATACTTATTTATCCTTATTTTATTTGGTATTAGTAATAAAAGATAAGAAAATACAAAGCCACATGACGGAGTTAAATACACTACATGCACTCAATACCGAGACGTGAATACGTGTGACTCATGCGGGTGAGAGTTCAATGTACACGCGCGTACCTGAGGGAGAACACGCACACACGTGTACGTGAGACACGCACTACGCACACGCGTGTACGAGTGGCAGGGCCACGCACACGGGACAGACTAGAGAGGTCAGCGCGCACTATGGTGCGTTCACGCACAGCATTCGAGCAGAAAATTTATGACAACTTTGAATAATAAGAAGGCATTAATTCCCAATTATTAATTATTCATTATGAATAAAATTGGCCTTCTACGAACGAATTATGAACATCGTGACTCGTTTCAAACTTTCACTCAGCGCTAAGTTGTTCGTTGAACAGACCGAAACGTAAATAAGTACAGATAAAATAGATAAATATATGGTCATAAATCAAAGTGATCACATCAAATGTACAGTTGCAACGATAAACAATTATTCTCAAGACATTTATTAACAAAAAATTCCCCGTTAAGTAGGGGAAATGCGCCGGGCGACGGGGCGAGTAGGCAACATCGCAGTTCGCAGCCTGTTGCATCAACAGAGGGGCGATAAACCTCTGAACTTACGAGCAGATTAGTACATTCATTGTCAATTTGTCATCCTACGAATAACTAAATAATACAAATCTGTCGCCATTAAACCATTCGTGGAGGAATATTTGGGAGAAACTACTGAAATATCGATACTACATAGTATCGGTTTATATCCATTTTAAGGGATGTTAAAAGGTCATTCAGTTTCAACCATGCAGTTTCCGGTGTGAACGTTCCCAGTCTAGCAACACTACAGTCTACACGGCATGAATCCTAGCTACCTAATCAAATTCAATACAGAGTTAATGACAGGGTTAACAGTTTTACCCTACTTATGCCTTCAAAACACACAGGTTTAACACACGAAACACAAACGCCAAACTCGTGGTGGTTTGTAAAAACAATGAAAGAAATGAGGATCAGATAAAAATGCGCAAGCGGAGGGTTCGAGTTTGCAAGCAAATCCTCCCGACCGGCCGGCATCTGTGCTTGCTTGCACTAACAATAGATAACTGAATTCCATTGTATGTCGTAAAGATCCTAACTCTAAGCAAAAATGTATGCGGAAGTAACACATTTACTTACGATTCAGAAGATTTAGTTAGCTATGGACAAATATAATCACCTTTACACCAACAATAAAATTCCTTAGTCAAGAACACGAGAGCAATCCTTACATAGGTCCTTACAACACGAGCGTTCGGGTGTGTCTGGAACTCGAGCTTTGGGAAAAGTTTGCAAGCGACTCTCAATGCCAAATGTCATTTATTCTAATTCATTTTCTGTCATTTTTCAGACTTCCTGTCAGTTATTTCTTTATTAGGAAAACAAAAAGCTTCATCTCTTCGACGTTTCATTTCCTCACTAGTCTTTATTTTAAAATCGATAAAATTTGAGTGAATTCTGTTTGAAATCAGACAATGTAACGGTATTTGGCAACTGCAATTACGGATTACTCATCAGAAGTCCACAACAGCTGTCACTTTATCAGCCATTTATAGGGAATTTCCGACTCTCAACTCACTTAATCCTGAATAATTTTTCACTAATTTTAAGTTTTTCATCAAATATGCATCATAAATTACTTATAAATTTGTTTGAATGCCAATAATTCAAGGTATTGCAAGAGAAAGTCAAAGTTTCTACAAAAATTTCTCTGCCACGCAACGATTTTGTCCTAAGCATTGCAGTGGAATTTAATATTCGTTCAAAAAGACGTAATTGAGACTGAATTCAACGTAATTATTCTATTATATGAATTGTCAGAAAATAATAATAAACATGTATCATGCATTTAGGCATGTAATATTATTTACTCATAAAATCATAAACATCGCACTAATTTGAAAACTTCGATAAACGAGCAATTAATGCTTGTTGGCGCCCCGCATGCCCTGATGACTTTGGAAGGATCTTACAGAAGTATTGTAGCTTTTCGAAAAATTACCAATTTAACTTATAAAATGCATATGGTAGTCTCTAAAGAGCAATAGCGACATTAGTGATGTGTGTGCGAACTAACGATGTGTCTTCAGAGGTAGGAACACGAGACGATGGTAGACATCATCTCCCCCCTCCATCTTGGTAGCATCAGAACCTAATCTTGAAGCTTAGCATCATTAACTTATAATTTAGCAATCATAATAAACATAGCTATTTGACCTGACATTAATAATAATGATAGATAATATTTTACTCAACTCATTACGTCACAACTGGAAGATCCTACTAACGTGGTCTCGCACGGAGACTAACTCCAACTGAAACCTTATCTTGAACACCGCTACGCAGCTCACCTAGCAAGATCGAACCTAACCCACGTGACCTCATTCATCGGTACGGGTGGGACTTACTCATCCTTACTGCGTTACTCAGCTCAGGAGGTCGAGGGACGGTGAGACTTACTCATCCTTACTGCGTTACTCAGCTGAGGAGATCATGGGAAGATGCATTGGACGCACTCTAACGCAATTTATTCATATTCACGGTCAAGGGAGCAATGAAAGCCTCATCAACAAAAGCAGTACAATTTACTATGCACATTAGAACGTCCGACTCGAAATGCACGCAAGATTATACAAAGCGTACAAAAGAAAATGCATAGTAAGAATAATAATAATGAACACAAGTGGTGACAATGAGCACGATCTAGCAGGACAAAACTTAACAATTTGTTGCTAAATTCTTCCAACCATCACAGTTGCATTTACTGGAAGTTGCACACCAGGCGGTGCCCATAACAAAACGTAACTTTTCATATTTCCGTTGACACTTGTCAAATAACTTGCATTGCATAAGCAAATAAACATGACAACCAAGTATATTAATGTTTAGTCTTTGGAATCCGTTTTTATTATCTTAGATGGGATGATAATACAGACAAATCTAAGACGTAAGTTTTCGCTATAACAAATCACTGAAAGACCTTCTCCCATCCCCACCACCATCATCGTCATCATCGGTGCCATCTTTCCATCTGAGAATCAAGCCCATCTTCTCGACGAGCTCATGGTTCTCAACCACCTGTGTCAGGTGGCTGCCCGTTACGTGGTTGCCTAGCTGGTGCTTGGTAGCAAACGTGGCCTGGCAGAACAAGCACGTCGAGTCTTTGAGCTGTGAGGTCGAATTCGACATCCTAGGGTTGAGTCTATGGTTGACCAAGTGTGTGGTTGTCGCGGTAGCTACAACCGAAGTATCTAACCGGTTCGGGTTGGTTGAATGTTTCCCGGCAACGAACGCTGGACTAGTCCGCGTTCCCTTGAACGTTTGCTGGATTGCGGTGTTTGCTCGCTCGGTCGTGGAAGCTTGGCGTCGGAACACGGCGTTCGGATCTACCGTCATGGCGTCTGCTTCTTCTATGACTACAGTTGCATTTAACCCGCCATTACCATCGATATCTTCGTTTGAATCTCTAACTTCTAACAGGTCATTGTCATTACCAACGTCCACTTCACCTTGATAGCCAACAAACTCATCGTGTTCCTCCACTTCATCTCCACCATCACCTATAACGCGATCACCATTACCGTCGAGGATCTCCACGTCGCCGCTGATGAGGCCGTCATCTCCCTCATCGCTGTCCGCGGCGGCCACGAGGGAGGACAGTTGCTGCAGGCTGGTCAGGCTAAGCAGACTCGTGGGGTCGATGTTGGACAGGTTAATCTGCTGCAGCGCCCCCGTCGACGTGGGCATCTGCAGGATCAGCGAGATGGAACCGTCCGCGTTGCTTACTTGCTCCACGTTCGCTAGGATCTGACCCGAGTCCTGGGGGTCCTGAGAGACTAGAGGAGCCTGAGGAAAGATAGCGCGGGATGAGGGGTTGGGGGTGCCAGGGAAACTGCGGACATCAATTGTGTTCTGGGTGAGGAGATCCTCGTCGGCATTGTGCACGTCATTGACATCATCTTCTTCTTCTTCTTCTTCGTCATCAGCGAGAACTATGGAAGAAATGCCAACGTTGGCATCTGGTGCTGAGGAAATAACACCAGCTTTATACGAGGCGTTGTTTCTTGACACACTACCCATGCCTCTAGTGGTGGGGTTGGCGTTTCTTGACCCGCCAATATCATTTCCAGTGGTGTAGGTAACAGCGATTGAAGCATCACCCATACCGCCACTACCACAAATTCTACCCTTACGGCTACTGGCACCACCGCTACCATTTTTATAAGAGGTGTTGGTTGCAATAGTGGCCACTCTGAGCGTTGTATTCTTCCCGCTCAGTCTCGCGTCATGAGGCTCGGTCTTAAAATCTTCAAAGTTTATTTCAACTTCTCCTAACGTCTTACCGTCTTCGGCACTGTCCTTGACCTCTGCATGGCTGTTGTTGCGGTCCCTTACATTATCCACGTCATATTTGTTCCTAAGGGCCCCATCCCTAAGGTCCTCTTGGTTGTTCTTGCCCTCATGCCGGTTACTGAGGTCGCCAGGGTTAGTCTTAAAGTGGCCGAGGATGTGTGCCTTGCGGTGCCCGCTCGTCCTGAACTTCATGAGGCAGTAGGGACACTGCAAGGGCTTGTCCCCCGTGTGTATGCGCATGTGGATGCTGAAGCTGCCCTTGGACGCGAAGTAGGTGTGGCACACGGGGCACTGACAGCTCTTGGAGCCGCTGTGGCTGCGTACGTGGGCGTCCAGGGTGCTCTTCACCGCGAACGTCTTGCCGCACTGACCGCAGCTGCGGGAGGGAGGGGATATGGGTCATCATGTTTAATATTATGGACAGTTTGATATTATTGAATTGTAAATACGTTAGGCAGTAACAATGGAACAGCAATCGCAGTAGACATGTTCAGGAATACTAGATGCTTTTTATACTTAATTACAGGAACATTTTAGTAATTTTTGTCAAAGTTGATGTGTTGTTTCCTACAGTTGAAACGATTTTATTGTTTCAGAAAAATCTCTAATGTCAAATACGAATTTTTTCATTTTAGAAATACAAGTAGCCCACGATGCAGGACATTTACAATATGGCGGTCCATTCAGAGGGAGATTCATATGGACATTGGGACAGAGATTCATAATGCGATTCGCACACAGATTCATAGGAAGACTCTTTCAATCTTACCAAGATGTACACAGAGATTCATACCGAGACATTAACACAGAGGTCCACACAGAGATGGCAGTACCTGTATGGTTTCTCGCCGGTATGTGTGCGGATGTGGCGCGTGAGGTCCGAGGGTTTCTTGAAGGTTTTTCCGCAGTGTTGGCAACGCCGCAGGTTGCGGGCATTTGGCAATACCGCGGTACCCTCGTCTGGTGACGTGGCAACGCCGCCAGAAGTTGCCACATCTTCAGTCTGGAAAAAATAACGCTAACTAGAAAGAGTTTCACGCAGATTAGGGAGCATTCTACGCAAATTACGCTCTTCCTTATTATATTTATTATAAAATAAACCGAAAATTTGTCGCAACTCTTCGGTATGGACTTGACTCCCTGACTCATTACTACTGTACAGGCTACGCCAGACGCGGCTGTACAAATACAATTGCGGTGTACACGAGAACATATGCACATTAAATGAATAAACGAAGGCTAGTAGTCACGAAGTAACTAGCCACTCCTGGAAACTAGGCACTCACGTCTGATGTGGTCCGTCCTCTCCTCGCCTTCCCGTACTGCCTCTGTAACACAGAGAGGGCGTAGGGGGGGGCACGTGCAGGGGTAGGGCATGTGTGGGAAGGGCATGTAGGGGGGATGGACAGGTGAGGGAGGGGGAGGTGATGGGGTATATGGCATTGCAGTCAACAATAAATATATAGCAGCGATATAGAATATAGTGGATGTATGTACGATCAGAGCTGGGCAGCGCTACTTTGAAATGTAGCGGCCGCTACCGCTACCGCTACTGAAAATGTAGCGGCCGCTACATGTAGCGCGCTACTGCCCACCTCTGTGTATGGTATAGTGGGTACAAGGGATGCTCATTAGCAAGTAGCACATTAACTAGTTGAAAGGGGTACCCACCTGGCTGAGTGGGCCGAGGAGGGCAGTGGTGACCAGCTGGCGGGGGTGGAGGCGCAGGTGATGCTGCACACTCACCACGCTGTACAGCACCTCACCACACACCGGGCATCTCCATCTGCCGGGGGAGTGGAGTGAGTGGGGGGAGTAGGGGTGACAGGGTGGGGTGAGTGGGATGGGGTGACAGGGTGGGGTAATGGAGTGAAGTGAGTGGGTGAAGAGGGTGGGGTGAGTGAGTGGGTCAGCATATAATTATGACAAACTGCCACGTATTGCAGTGAGTGTTGGCTCACTGTTGGTGGTTGGAGCTGCGGTGTCGGTGGAGGTGGGCAAGAGAGGGCAGCAGCTGCTGGCACACCTCGCACCAGTGCTGCGTGGGGTGGGCGCTGCTCATGTGCTCCTGCAACACACGGGGACTTTAGTGTGTTCCTGCAACACACGGGGACTATTATGTCCTGCAACACACAGAGAGACTGCAACACACAGACTCCATTTGTGCTCCTGCAACACACGGAGAGACTTTAGTGTGTTCCTGCAACACACATGGGGAGACTATTATGTTCCTGCAACACAGACGTTACACCGTGTTCCTTCAACACAAAATAATGCTGGCGTCATTGTTCACAATAGAAATTCTGAAGAGGGGGTTAGAGAGTAGTCAGAGTACGTTGGTTCTGAAGGGATCAATGGGTACGTTGGTTCTGAAGGGATCAATGGGTACGTTGGTTCTGAAGGGATCAATGGGTACGTTGGTTCTGAAGGGATCAATGGGTAACATTAAGATAGAGTAACAACCAGGCCACTCACGACGAGGATGGCGCGCGTGTCGTGCACGGCTTTACACACGACGCATGTGTGCGTCACGGGGCCGTGTTTACGTCTCCTCTTGACCGTCGTGTTGCTGCCGTCACTCACGGTCGTGGTGGTCGTGGGGGGTCGTGAGGTGGCCGTGATACACGTCGTCATCATGTCCTGCCTGTAGATCATCATGAGATAATTTATCGCAGTTTATATAATTATTGCAGTATATAATTATATATACATGATATATAATTAATGATATATCACTACGTTAATGATACATATCATTATTTATACATAATGATAATTAATTTCGATATAAATACGCAAGGTACATCCATATCAATTAGTCAGATATTGTTTAAATAAATATTAGCCGCTAGTTAATACAGCTACTCACCCGCTAAGTTTCCGTTTGCGGCGGTTGACGCTAGCTTCACTAGCCGCAGCTAGAGCTTCCTCTGCACCATTGTTATCGTAACTAGAGTCCTTGTTATCGTAACTAGAGTCCTTGTTATCGTAACTAGAGTCCTTGTTATCGTAACTAGAGTCCTTGTTATCGTAACTAGAGTCCTTGTTAGCGTATCTAGTGTCTTTGTTAGCGTATCTAGTGTCCCTGTTATCGTATCTGATGTCCTTGTTATCGTAGCCCACGTTGTTGTTTTCGTACTTGATTCCAATATTGTCTTTCGGACGGTCAGTCTCGTATTTGTTGTCACTATTATCGTAATGTTTATTGTTGTTATCGTAATGTTTCTTGTTGTTCTCGTAATGTTTACCGTTGTTATCGATGCATTTATTGTTGCGATTAGCAGGTAAACTATCGTAAGGCTGCGCAAGTCTGTTATCTCTGTTATCAGTGTCATCGTAGTCGTCAATTTCTCCGTTATCGTTGATAACAAAAGCGCGGAACGCCATATCGTTATCAGGCGTCATCATCTCGATGCTTTCATCAAACGTTGATTTCCGGACCATTTCAGGAATTTTTTCAACGATTACCACGTTATTTCTGCCGATGTCTACATGATTTCTGCCGATATCCACGTTATTTTTGACGATATTAATATTATTTCCGCCGATGTCCACATGATTTCTTTCGATATCTACGGGTTTTTTACCGTCGTTTTCGTCGGATTTCTGATCAACGAGCGACGAAAAAGCGGCGACAGCGCCGGATTTTCGATCAATTTCCGACGAAGATACACGATTTCCCACGATGTCGTGGGTTTTATCCACGATACCGTGGGGTTTATCCACGATACCGTGGGGTTTATCCACGATACCGTGGGGTTTATCCACGATGTCCGTGGAGTTGCTGGGGATACTCGAGGATTTCTTGGGGATATCCCCCGCCTGGGGTTTGTCGTGGGGATATTCAGATGCCAGCACGACGTCGTGGCAGCTGAGCAGCTGCAGCAGCTGTTCCTGGGTGATGGAGGTGAGGTCGATGCCGGCCTGTGGCACGGTAATGGTGTTAGGGCACGGTAATGAGGAGGTATTAGGGCACGGTATAAGGACTACACGACAGGATACCGAAAAATAAAAGTAAAAAATAACTACATGCCACTATGCGGAGCATACTAGGTACCTATAGTAGTAGTAGTATGATGGTTTACTAGCGCTTCAGCTATCAAGCTATTTCACACCGGAGGTCGAAAGTTAACATAGCCAGCGCGGCGGAAGGTCTCAATAGTCCAGCCCGCTGAAGCTGGCTCGAAGGAAGCAGCGTTAGCATCTCAAAGAGACGAAGTGACAAGGAGGGACAGGTGACAAGGAGGGACAGGTGACAAGGAGGGACAGGTGAAAAGCAACAGAAACGAAGACACTCGAACAAGAGGTCGCTTACACGGGACGTCGGTCGCCCGCACCAGAGAGACAGAGACGGGAAATGTGAGGAATCCTGCCTACTTAATAACTTAACCCCACAACTGAGACCTACAGTCAGACACCGCGAGCCAGCGGTGGGGCGCTCAGGAACAATCCCCCTAGGAGCGCGAAATCCCATAGGACTTCTGACACACAGACACGCGTCAGGAGTCCCCCCTGAGGGGATATACGCGGTACAAAAAATGTACATACGACACGCAATATGGTACGAGAAGCCGTCCTTGCAGGGGGCGCTGCCCCCTGCAAGGACGGCTGCCGCCCCCCGGGACTCACGGGGAGGTGGATGGTCAAGCCCCCGGAGAAGGGGTCGGCGGCGGCTCCTGGGGAGGAAGGGGGAGCATTAAGCCAATAACAGCTTTGGCTATTATACCTGTATTAATTTTTTATTATATTGTTATATTAATTGTGATTCGTGGAATAAATACGGCGAATATTTGAATTTGGTTGATTCAGGTAAGTTGCTTATAGTTCACGCACGGCATCTGATCAGATGCACGGCGGTCTAACATCAGATGCACTGGGATCAGGTGGCTGGTGCAGCAGTTACCTGCGTCTGCGTGCAGCAGCTGTTGACCCTCCTCCTGCAGCAGCAGCTGCTGCAACGGACCTCCTGCAACGTTATTAATTACCATTATTGCCTCTTATTTACATTTCATTAAACTATAAATACATTCAATACTTTAAAATGATCAATTATTTTCAATTTGTTGATGATTATTAAACAATCTTGTGGACGTAAAAATTAACAATCCAACATCTGCTTCACTAATTTTTTTTTATGATATCGTTATCGCTAATCTTAAGACATTTATCAATTAGGATATATAATATAGAATTATTTCTACCAGGCTTTTCTTAACTTGCCAGGAAGGACTCTGAAATTTCCAGTCTTGCTAACATAAGCAAAGTTAAAAAACGTAAATCCCCATCTAACACTGAGCACTCAGAAAATTAAAACGATTATCAAAATAGCGATATACACTTTTTTGCCCTTGTTGTGACATCCTAACCCTTATTTTGTAAGACAAATGGACGTATCAGAACTGCATACAGGAAGTGTGTCACTTTTTGGACAACTTGACCCATCCATTTTTGGATTTTGGACGATTATTCTGGCCCGCGATGCTCAGCTACTCTAGTACGGTGTGTGTGACGTCATACTCGCGAGCGGTGATGCGCACTTCCCACAACTATATTTTACAACTTAGAGTTTATATTAAATCATGTTTGATTTGTACGGTTTATTCTTTGCGTGTAAAGTTTCAAGTTAATTTGAAATTCGATTAAGTAGATAACTTTAATACTTATTAACTATTTTCTATTCAATGAGGTCCTAAGCTGCTAGTCACCTGCTGCGCTATCCTCGGCGACGTCCGTCGGTGCTTCATCGTTGCCAGATGACGTCACTTGTGATGACGTCATTGTTGATGACGTCACCTGTGGTGACGTCACTAATGATGGCGTCACTGGTAATGCACTCGCCACCTTGTCCTGGTCAAAAAAAGATTCATGTGAACCACGCGTACCAAACATAAAAATACAGGAAATTAACACAAACTCATCTAGCAAATAAGCTGCACAACACAAAACACATGCCACGCATAAGTCCGGTGTCAATCAGGCGTCTAATTCTATTCATTATAATTGAGTCGTAATATTCACTACACGTGATAGAGATTGCTGGAGAAGTACTAGACCTGAGCCAGCAAGGACAACATCACGTGACAGATCACGCGATCAAGACCACAGTAGTGGGCGAAAACCGTAATCCTATAGAATGGCTGGGAACCTTGGTAAGGCCCCCAGTAACTCACAAGTGCGTCGTGATGTAACTCGTGTTAGAACTACTCCGACCTAACCGTCCACGTCTTAGGCTATACCACTAATATAACACTCGTGTATTACCACCTCATATCAAGAAAAACGAATATGGAATGATGGAAGATGTATTGGGGTGGGGGGCAGCGGGTGATACGAAGCGGGGAGAATGGGCAACTATCAATGCACTCATAGTGGAATTCTAGAGGGGTTTTCAAGTGCCAAAAAACAGTTTATTCGAAATTGCATCCCAAAACCAATCACACTCTGGATAGTATGAAATCACAATCCTATCAACCAATCACAGCTGGAAAGGCGCATATCTCAGCCAGAAAATTAAAGTAACTTTAAGCACTATCATAGAATTTCACCATGCACGCACTACCACAAAACACACTCACTTTTACGGCCCCAGAGTCCATAGGATCCTGGAGGTCCTTCGCAGGGACATCACCATCCCCGGTCACTATGACGGAGCCCTTCTCGTCGATGGTGATGGTGGGGAGGTGATTATTCAGGCTGGCCGAGTTGATGGTGATGGTGGGTATGGTGGCGTGGTCCAAGGTGATGGACGGTGATTGATCTTTCAAGCCGCCTGAGCTCAGGGTTATTGATGGGTGTTTGTTGGGGTTATACCCAGGGCGTTTATCACCCACGGATGTTGGGGTGTGATGGTTGTTCCCCCCGCTGGGAGGAAGAGGGTTGGGATGCACTGTGATGAATTTAGTAGACGGTATCCCGTCACTTGACGGGACAGAAGGATATTTGTTTCCTGTACTGCAGACAGGGGCGGGTAGGAGGAGACGGTTCCTTGTGGAGATCACACCTTTGGACACGCCAGCGTCTTTGTTATCTCCATAACAAACTGTTATTTTATTCGTAGGTTCGTAAGAAGCCGCTATTTTATTCGTAGTTTCAAAAGAAGATGCTATTTTATTCGTAGTTCCATCATGGTAAGAAGCTGCCATTGTTGTCGCAGCTTGTAACGAAGACGAAATATTTTTTTCGTTTTGAAAAGCCACCGAAACTTGATTTTCATTCTGCAAAGAACCTGCAGTTTTGTTCGTGTTCTGGAAAGTAGCGACCATTTTCTTAGCGTCCTCCTGGTCGGCCTGCAGGTTCTGACCTGCAGAGCGCACAGCCTGCATGGTCAGGTCGAGCAGGTGTATCTGCAGGTGCTTCTTGCAGCTGCTGTTCGTCTTGAAGGTCTTCTCGCAGTACGGACACATGAACGGCCGCGCCTGGAAAAGTTTCCATTAGTTTTGTTCACTTGGCAGTTAATAGAAACTTGAATAAATAATCTTCATTTATTTAGTTATTAATATTAAATTATGAATTTAATTAGCAATAAAATATCAATATTTACTATTTAATTAATAATCGTGTTTCTATTGTTCACTTGCCAGTTTGTAAAACATGAATAATTTTTACATTATTTATTAATATTGAAATATTAATTTAATTAGCATTCTATAATATTATTTATTATTAAATTAATAAGTAATAATTATCGTGTGTCTATTAAGCTGGCGCACACGACAGACCACAGCCATCTGAGGTGCCCCACCTCTGAGTGATGCCCCACCTGTGAGTGGTGCCCACCTGTGAGTGGTGCCCCACCTGTGAGTGGTGCCCACCTGTGAGTGGTGCCCACCTGTGAGTGAAGTGGTGCCCCACCTGTGAGTGGTGCCCCACCTGTGAGTGGTGCCCCACCTGTGAGTGGTGCCCCACCTGTGAGTGGTGCCCCACCTGTGAGTGGGTGCTAAGATGCCTCTTGACGCTGCTGGGTGTGGCGAAGAACCTCTGGCAGAGTGGGCAGGAGGAGGTCTTGACGCCGAGGTGGGTGCGCTGGTGGGCCCTCAGCACGCTGGGGGAGCTGAAGGCCTTGGGGCAGAGTGGGCAGAGGTGGGGGCGCTCCCCCGTGTGGATGCGCTCGTGCTGACGAAGGTGGGAGGACTTCTTGAGGGCGGCGGGACAGAAGCGGCAGCGGTGGGGCCGGCGGCGGGGCGTCGCGGGGCACGGGTTGTACACGTCCGCGTTGCGGGCCACCTGGGGGACGCGGCCTGTGGCGGGGGCAGGGGTTAGGGGGTGACGGTACATGCGTGGACATCTTGTGAGAAAATAGTAATTCGACACACCACCACCCACCATGCCTGCACCACCAAACACACACCACAGTCAACACGCGCCCCAATACCCCAGCACCCAACACTCTCCAAAACCCACCACCCACCGTGCTCGGTGATGAGTATGGGCTCCTGTAGAGGTATGTCCGGCAAGGGACAAGGGGGACCGTGGGCGAGACGGTCCCCCTTGCGGCGACGTGGCGGTGGTGGGTTACTCTTGCCTGCCCCGCCAGCCAAGGGACAAAAGTGGGCGAGGTGTGTCTTGCGGGCAGCGAAGCTGCGGAAGCCTTTGCCACACGAAGGGCACGTGAAGGGTGGCCGCCCTTCGTGCGACCAAGAATGCAGCTTGAGTGTAGCGGCAGAACTAAACCCTTTGTTACACGTGGGACATACATGGTCCCGGGCTGGGGCATGGGTCTTCAGGTGTCCCATGAGGGTGGACTTGACCCTGAAGGCCCTGAAACACTTGTGACACTTGAAAGGCTTGTCGTTGGTGTGCACACGCAAGTGTCGCAGCAGGTCAGATGGTTTACGGAACTCCTTAGGGCAGTTAGCGAAGCAGCAGTGGTGGTACTTAGCGTCCTTTGAGTACTTGACGACAACTTGGTACTTACGGACCACTTCGTTGACGCGGTCTGATAGCGTCACCATCACGTAACGGGACCGCTCTGAAGGACCTTTGGTAACGTCACTAGCTCCTGTTTTCGTAACGTCCTCAGTTCTTGTAACTTCGGGCCTTGTTTTCGTAACTTTGGAAATTGTTTTCGTAACTTCATCCATAGTTTTCGAGACTTCGGGCATTGTTTTCATGACTTTGGGCGTCGTTTTTGTAATGTCGTCACCAGTTATCTCAGTAACGTCAGTCGCTTCTCTGGTAATTTTTGATGCCGCGTTCGTGACGACATCTTGATCAGATCTCGCAACATCATTATATTCTGTGACGCTATTTTGTCCCATATCCGTAACATTGGCATCACCAAACGTTTCTTCAACCACAAAACTGTTGTCGCTGGTGCAGTTTTGACCGAAGGTGTCTTGCCTGATGACATCAGGACTTTTGGTCTTAGGTTCTTCGTCAGCGGAGCCATGGTCTTCTCCATCAGCAGGAATAGCGATGGCACCTGAGCGGAGGAAAGCGGTCAGATATTTCGCTTTAGCGGAAAATTTTCCAAAAATTATGAAGAAATAACGCGTTTTGTATAATGACATCTGCCTGCCTCAGCGTACCATGACTCACACAAGTTGCCAGACTCACTATCGAGTAGCGAGTATTTTAATTTATTAATAGAATTGAATTTATATAATTAATGGTAATATAATTATATTATAAATTTAAAAGCAAAGAAAACTCCACAAAAATTCAGCATTTCTCTGTTGAAAACGTTTCGGAGACCAGCTCCATCGTCAGTTCGATAAATCTAGAACACAAATTGTCAGAAAATTAATAAAGTTTGGAGTCAAAAGGAAAAAAACAACAGAAGTTAAAACCTAAATTTCCAGGTAAAGGACAGAATACTAAAGAAATACCTATCTATTCACAATTTCTAATGGATAAAAACTGTAGGCAGCATTTAAACCAGGCTTCTCTTTAAAAATATACAATGATTCCTAGATGCGCAGATCGGAAGCACCAGAACTATAAGCTAAAACCTTAAAGTTTATAAATTTAGTTGAGCACGATGTGCATCTGCTTGCGTTGATATGACGGCACGCAACCTTTACACTAGGGTCGCTGAGCATAGAGGGAGGAGTTATAGGAATGGGCAGTTACTATCGCGCCCTCCTCATTCGGCTGTGCGCACTCACGCCGAACAGTGCAACGTTCCGGTGTCCGACACTGTCTTCAAGGTTTTAGCTTATAGTTTTTACAGTAACATTAATAAATAATATTAAGACAACGACTAACCAGAGTTGCCAGAAGGCTCCCTGTCAACACCGCTGTTGACAAGCGCCCTCTTCAGTATGTCATCAGGCGTGACGCAGACCAGGTTTATGTTGGTCTTCACTGGACTGATATTGGTCTTTGCTGGACTGCAGGACTTAGCATCAAAGAAAGTCCCCGCCTTGAGGTTCTTGATGAACACGTCCTTCTTGATGCTCAGGATACGGGCGGGGGGCGGCTGGGGAGGGGCGGCTGGGGGGTCCCGGGGGGCGCTGACCCCTTCTGAATATCATAGGTTTTAAGGGAGGATATATCCGTAAGAAATTGAATTATTTACCCATAAATATTCTTACCAATATTTAACTGAAAACGTTATAAAATTTAGCAAATCACACCGTGTAGTTACTTCACAATAACATTTAAGCCCACACATTAATTATCAACAATGATAATTATATAATGAATATATATTTAATTAAGCAGGAACACTCAAGTTGCGCGACATTGAAAGCAACAAACTGTCCATTTTACGAGCAATAACTAGCATATACTACAATATACCAAGACAAGATAAACTAATTTATAAATAACGATAAACAGCAATACTAACATCGCTGCTCTGTTCTTGTTCAACTTGCTGCCTCTTCTGTTGCACAGGCTCCACCTGCACCAGCTGTACCGGCCGGCTGTGCACCTGCAATACGTAAATAATAAATAATAATAATAATAAATAAATTATAAAAATAACAATGAAATAATAATAAATGTGGGCGTTGAGGCCTCGGTACCTGCGATATGTGGGCGTTAAGGCCTCGGTACCTGCGATATGTGGGCGTTAAGGCCTCGGTACCTGCGATATGTGGGCGTTAAGGCCTCGGTACCTGCGATATGTGGGCGCTAAGGCCTCGGTACCTGCGATATGTGGGCGTTAAGGCCTCGGTACCTGCGATATGTGGGCGTTAAGGCCTTGGTACCTGCGATATGTGGGCGTTAAGGCTCCCCGGGCGCCGGAAGACGCAGCTGCACTCGTCGCAGCGGTAGCCCGTGACGGCCGCGGCGCCCACGGGGTGCACGCGTCGGACGTGACACACCAGGTTACCTGGGAGATAAGGGGGCGTTAAGGGGCGTGTTGCAGGCTACGTGTTACGTGTTACATGTTGTATGGTACACGCTAAACTACACACGCTATGTTACATGTTACACGCTACACAAGCTATATGTTACACGCGCTACACACGCCACACGCTATACAATGCACGCTACTCACTGCGCTGGGAGAAGCGTCACTACACACACTACACGCTACACACGCTACTCACTGCGCTGGGAGAAGCGTCACTACACACACTAAGACAGGGACAGCTACAACCCTATAACCTGAGTTTCGGACTTCCTAGTCCACGGTCACGCTGATGCGCCGCCTTCGTCGTCCTCCGTCTCCGAGTCGTCGTCGGATGTAACGTTGGACGTGTTCCGTCTATTTGCCCTCCTTTGGGCCAACTGATGCAAGATGCTGTTGCTTGTCACTTGCTGATGGTAGTTTCCCATTACTGGACAATCCGGGATCTTTCTCAACCACTTGTCCAGTCGTCTCTTGAATGCTGCAAGGGTAAACTCCCCTCCTCTCAGCTCTTTTGGCAAGGCATTAAAGAGCCTCGGTCCTACCACGGACAGTGATCCCTCACGAGTCTGTACTCTGGCCGCGGCTCAGTTATTAAATGGGAGAATCCTGCACTTTCCCACTTCTTTCTTTGTAATACGTCACAATTTTGGAGATCACACTTTCAAAGTTGGGAGCCAGTCCGTTTATCATCTTCCAAGTGTACAGTATGATATACCTTTCCCTTCTTCTCTCCAGTGAGTACAGTTCCAGGTGTTTCAGCCTTTCAAAGTAGTCCAGCGTCAGCTCTTTCATGCCGCTGATCCTGTACGTGAAGGTCCGCTGCACTGCCTCCAGTTTCCGCATCGCGCCCGCCTGAGCGGTACCCAAAGTTGGCAGCAATACTCAAGATTGGGGAGCATGAGGGCTCAGAAGAGGGTTATCATTAGCGCTGCTTCTCTTCTTCAAAATGTCCGCCATATCCACCCCATCCGTTGTATGCCTCGCGCAACTTTTTCCTCGATGTGGTCATCGAACGTGGCTTCGGCATTCTCATCAACACTCCGAGATCTCGAACTAGTTGCTTCTCAATTTCTGTGCCATCTGATGCAAAGTATCGATGCGGCATCCCGATCTCAGTGCGGACTCTGTATCTCATTACTTCGAACTTGGTGCCGTTGAACTGCATATTGTTCACTAGGGCGCAATCGTAGATTGACGATAGACCATCATGTAACCTCTCGCAGTCTGGGTCATCTGTGATCATCAGCACTCTTGTATCGTCCGCAAATGACCCGCACTCCTTGTCCCAGGAACTCATGGTCATCTCCGACAATGACTTCGTCATCCTTAAGCGGGCCCATTGGCGCCTTTATTTTAGCCTTCGACTGAGCGTATTTAAAAAAATACTTGGGGTTCTCTTTGGTGACCTCAACCACTCGCTCTTCCGCGGCTTGTTCTTCCATCCTGAGCGAGTCTTGCAGCCTGAATTCGGTTTCAGTGTGCTAATCTACTAGCCTCTGTCTCCTCAGATCACCAGTGGATTCAGCTATTTGTTTATTCAATCGCGTGCGTTTTCTCATAAGGATTCGTCGGTCTCTCGGAATGCTGCGGACTTTAGGGCCTGTTTTTCTCGGGGTATGACGCACACATACCTGTGCTAAATTCCAACATAGTTTTGCGTAAATTTCCTCTGCATTCATCTCGGAAAACTCAGCACTCCAATCGATTTTATCAATTTCATTCCAAATTGCCCCCCAATCCGTACTTCGATTGTGGAAGTTAAATCCTGCCAGTCCCTCTTGGGGTATAGCCCTGGGCTGGGTATCAGTTCCAATTGTCGTTTCCACCATCGCTAAGCGATGATGGTCAGACAGTGAGGTATCTTCTACCCGAACGTCAACCACCATTCTTTCATTATTAGTAAAGAAGAGATCGAGGATATTGCGTTCCGTTGTCGGCGACCGTACCTGCTGACTGAGCAAGTGTTCCGCAGCGAACTTCACTAGTTTGGCTTCTTGACTTGTGTCGCGGTCATCGACCTTTACGGCGCCCAGACTTGTCCATCAGATACGTGGGAGATTGAAGTCTCCCCTCATATCAGGCTAGGGGCTGGTTCACCCAGTCCAACCACCCTGGTTTCTATTTCTTTCAGGATATCGGGTAAATTTTCCGATGTGCAAGCAGGCAGTCTATAGTCTATGGCTACGCAGAGGTCATGTTTCTTTATGTGGAGTAGCAAGTGTTCAAAAAAAGCCATCTCAGAGTTTCTAGATTCCGATCTTAATTCCACCGTGCTTCTTGCTAGAGAGTTAATAAATATAAATAATTACTCCTCCCTTCAACAACAAACTACAGCTACACGCCACCAGGTTGCAGGCACTACACAAACAGGAAAGCTCTGTTGACGCCCCACCTTGACCCCCCTCTTGATCCACCTTAAAGGGCCGCAAAACCCCATTTTGACCCATTATAAAGGGCTACCCTCTCTTGCACCACTCCCTCACTCGCCCACCTTGAAGGGCTTCTCGCCCTCGTGCCCCACCTTAAAGGGCTTCTCGCCCTCGTGCCCCACCTTGAAGGGCTTCTCGCCCTCGTGCCCCACCTTGAAGGGCTTCTCGCCCACTCGCCCCACCTTAAAGGGCTTCTCGCCCTCGTGCCCCACCTTGAAGGGCTTCTCGCCCGTATGTATGCGCAGGTGGCGCAGCAGCTGGGAGGGCTTGTCGAAGAGTTTGCTGCAGGTGGTGCAGCGGTGCCCCACTCGCCCCCTGCCCGCCCCACCCCGCGGTGGGCTGCCCACCAAGCTCCTGTACCGCCGCCGCCGCCGGGCCTTGGGGCGCGACAGCTTCTTAGCCTGCCGTGATATTATTATTATTATTATTATTATTATTATTATCATTAGTATTATTATTATAATATTATCAACATCACTATCATTGTCATCATCAATGCTATCACTAAAGCATCATCACTATCGCCATCATCGCAGTCATTTTTCAGCCATCGTTTAAACTTCTATAACTTACATGACATTATAAAAGACTGGCCATTACTGCACGACACCACACCCACTATCACGACACCACTGCATTACTGCACGACACCACACCCACTATCACGACACCACTGCATTACTGCACGACACCACTGCATTACTGCACGACACCACCTTTACATCACGACACATCACGACTGCATGACACGACACATCACCCACCGTCCTGTGCAGGACGCGGTGCTGGTCCAGGAGGCGCGGGGAGACGAAGGAGGCGCTGCAGGCGTCACAGGAATACCTCCGCTGCACCACCTCCTCCAGGAGACGCATCACCTCCCCCTCCTCCTCCCCCTCCATGGAGAACTCCTCCCCCACCACGACAATCCCCTCACCCTCATCCCCCTCCAGTTTAGGGGGCAGCAGCAGCTGACCCCTAAACTCAGGGTCCGAGTTTAAACTAAACTCAGGACCCAGGTTCTCAGGGTCCGAGTTCTCCTGGTCAACGGAGCCCCAGGGAACCCCTGGAACCCCCCAAGGGACCCCGGATTTATTACCAGGACCTTCACACTTGATGACGTGGTTGGGGTTCTTCTCTGTGAGCCCCAACCCCTGGGGGGCGGTATGGGTCTGTAGGCAGGGTTTGGTGTCACAGAAGGCGGGGTCTGGGGGTTCGGACTTGATGGTGGGGGTTAAGCCCCCGGGGGTTGAGGAGAGTCCCCCGTGGATGAGGCGTTCGTGCTCTGGCAGCTCCAGCTGGGGGAGAGGAAGAGGACTTTAGGGGATGGGGGGTAAATTATTCGGGGAGGGGTTAGAATATTAGAGGGTGAAGGCATGGATAAATATCATTAAATGTAAATAATTACTAATGCGTAAATCAACAAAACACTACGTACGTAAAAAAGACCTACGACTTAAAAAAATATTGGGTGATTAATTAAATTAAAACTCACCACGGACGTAAAAAATATCGAGTGATTAACACGTTGACTACGATTGCTTCATCTTGTTCTATTATTTTATTTTTTGGACTGTTTTTAAACAGGGTTGACAGACAGTAATTTTTTCCTGTCAAATTCCGTTATTTAGTTTTTCTCAATTGCGTTGGCCGGCAAATTTATGATAGGGGTACTTCCTGATTAAATTTTGAATACTGCAAAAAGAAAATAAATGGAATTTTCATAGCGGAACCTACAAATAAACTAATATATATTGAGTCATCGGCCTTTTTTGTTCTCGGATTTGGCCGATTTTAGGCAACCTAAATGATGTACCACTACGTCCTGGAGAAATAAATACAGGAATTTAAAAGCAAAGAAAACATCAAGCAAATTCACCATATCGATATTGAAAACGTTTCGGAAACCAGCTCCATAATCTGTTCGAAAAACTAAAAATGAATAAAATCATATTATTATTATTATTAAAATCACATTATTCGTATTCAATATCGATATGGTGAATTTGCTTGGTGTTGTCTTTGTTTTTAAATTCCTCGTGAACCTGCGATATAAGCAGACTGATAATATACTTAATACTTTCGTGGTACGCATATGTACCACTTCGGAGTCAACGTGTTAATTACATAAAATCTTACCACGGACGTAGTGAAACATTAAGACATTAATTAAATTAAAAAACATTGATTAACTAAAATAAAGCAGACCGTGGAGACGAACTCCTCGCCACAGGCGGGGCAGGCGACGGTCTCGTCCAGCAGGTGCAGGGGGAGGTGCGCCCTGTAGGAGGCCAGCCGTCTGAACGTCTTGTCGCACCGCGGGCACGTGAAGGGCGGGCCCGGCCCGTGCAGCCCTTCGTGCAGTGATAGGTTCTCCTGGTGGGGGAGGGGGGGTTAGTGCGGGCACGTGAAGGGCGGGCCCGGCCCGTGCAGCCCTTCGTGAAGTGATAGGTTCTCCTGGTGGGGGAGGGGGGGTTAGTGCGGGCACCTGAAGGGCGGGCCCGGCC